AAATATATTAAAAAAAAGAATTATATTCACAATGTCCAGTTGATTTGCATTTGGTAAATTCAGAGAAAATACTCCATTATCTATCCTATTTTGGTGAGTCCAAAGTTTTGTACTTAATTCACATTCTATCCCAACTTACATTACCAACCCAAAACTATCTTTTTAGACCTCAAAACATTTTCTTAGATAAACAATTTAAGCTTTTATGTCTTTCAATCTTATATGCTTTATACCATTTTGTGAATTTCTTTTCTGAATTTGGTAACAAGAAAAACTGTAACTATAACTATCTCATTTCAGGAAGTGCAGAGTAAGCAACTTCCAAAACGATAGGAACAATAGAGACATTTGGCGGCCTAGACAGTCACCCAAGGTTCCTCTGTAACTATGGGGTACCCATCTTTGGCCTACAGGCCTAGAATATCTGACAGACTTTTCTGTGAAGTAGGAATTTTGAAGGACTGCCCTATCTTGTCTTGGCAAAGTTCAGCAGTAGCTTTGTTTTGTGTCCTGCTTGTCCAATATGGACAGCATACTGTCAGCAGTCTAGGCAAGGACAGTTTCTTGCCCAGTGGCTAATTTTTGCCACAAAGAAAGGAAACTCCACGTGGAGGTTCTTTGATACCCATCATCTTCTCTGAAGTAGATTGGTACTGCCAGGAGCAGATGTGTCTTACTGTCATGAAAAGCCTTATGATATTAAAACATCTTAAATGCCATATTCTGTAGATCTCTGAAGTGTTTGAAGACCATCTATCTATTTAAAATATATTTATGTTTGAAAACATAGCTAAATGACTACAAGTTTGATTATAGATGTTTCTACTCTTATTTAAGGCATTGTACCTATGCAGTTCATTTAAAACTGTTATCTATAATAATCAAACATATTTATATATATATACATATATATGTAGCTCATTTAAAACTGTAATCTATAATAATCAAATATATATATAAAATAACAAAAGAATGTTAAATTTGTATCAATATACAAAAATCCATACCAATGTAAAATATTTGAGATTATAGATGTTTTTTGTTTAAAAGTAGATTAAATAATCTACCCTTTTATCCTATAATTTCTATACTCCCCTTTTTCTTTTCAGAACAAGATCTCTGAATTTAATCTTCTTTGTTCAGCTTTCTCCCTGACCATGACCAACAATAACTTAACCAATCCTAAACAATGAAAAACATCCATAATACATTGAATGACCAAAACTCACTTACCACACCTCTTGGGAATGTGGGTATCATATTCTCTAGACTGCTTCCTGTTGTGTGGGAGTGACAGCATCTTTAGGGGACCTTGGGAAAGTTGGGATAATGGTCAAGTTCTGAAAGAGCTAGCTGTATTATTTCTTGTTCAGTCTCTGTGTGATGGGAAAGTGTGGAGCTTATCTGAAGTCCTGACTAGAGTGGTCTTTGAGGCTGGACCATCTCAGCTAACTGCCTTGAAATGGTCCTGAGCAGTGTGTAGTCCAAAGCTGAACTTTGTGTGGTATTTTTCAGCTTAATGGCATTATCACAATCAGATGGAATTGGCATTGTGGGGTCTCATCATCTTTTTGGAGACTTCAAAGGTCGCTGTTAGGAATGGTCACGGTTCACTGGAGAAAATGTCAACATTTTAAATGCCATATTGCAGCAGATCTTGGAGAGGTTAAAGGATTACAATTTGTTAAATACATCCAGGCTACAGAAACGTAATTCCTAGTTATGTGCTTCAGACTCAAGCCCAAAATCATGTACAGGAAGCTGGATGAAGCTTATTTCTAGAATTGGCTAGTACTCTATGTGACCATTAATATCACGATAGAAAGTTTATATGTATATAATAATCTTATTTTTTTGAGGTTATATTTATACCTTAAGAAAAGTTTTAAAAGAGTCAAAATAAAACCAGAGGATCATGAGATTAGTGGCAATAGAATACTCCCTTAATTTTGGTTTTTCTTCTGTCTCACTATCAGGTGGTTCTTCTGACATGAGACAGAGATTTTGGATTTTCCTTTAACAAGCATGCTTGGGTTTAGAGAAGGAGAGAGCCATGCTCCAACTCCAAAGCCAGCTTTAATTTTTAATTTTTATTGGTACTACATAAAGACCATTTGCCTTATATTATCTGTAGAGAAGAGCAGAAACAAACATTTAGGAAGATTTATGAAATTTTATCCTGTTGGAAATGTGCTGTACCATTAGGCCAATTTACTCGTTTTCTTGGGACATATTTTCTGGATGATTCCCATCTTCTTCTTCAGATGTCTCATCTGTCCAGTGGTCTTCAAATTCCTTAGTTGGATGCTTTTATTCTCCTGGAAAGACAGAAACAAAACCCTGCCCCAACCCTCACTTTAGGGAATTTTCCCTTCTGGCAGGTTATATCTTATCAAATGAAAGGCATTTGTTAGTCTTATAAATTAGTTTAGTCGGGCGGTGGTGGCGCACGCCTTTAATCTCAGCACTCGGGAGGCAGAGGCAGGCAGATCTCTGCAAGTTTGAGGCCAGCCTGGGCTACAGAGTGAGTTCCAGGAAAGGGGCAAAGCTACACAGAGAAACCCTGTCTCAGAAAACCAAAAAAAAAAAAAAAAAATTTAGTTTAGATTGAATGGCCATGTTGTTTGATGAACTATCACTTCTCCTAATCAAGGGGTCTCTCCTGTTTGAATCTAATCTTTATAAATTTTGATAGTATTCATAGCTAGAAGTGACTGGTGACCTCCTCCCTCGCTCCTTCCTCGACCCCAAAAGGCCAAGCATCTTTCTAAGCCCCTCCCTACTCCTTCCTGTATTTCTCTATATGTCCTTGGTCCTCCGAAGCCTTTATGGCTAATTTGGGTCAGCTAGTAGTTAGCTCCATCCTCTGACTCAAAGTAAACTTTATTGGCAGTCTCAGGTGTGTCAGAGTGCGATCAAAATATCCCACAACACTCCAGGTCAGGTGCTGTGACAGGGCAGGGCAGGCCTGGTTTGTGCCCAGTCTCTCTGGTCCAGTCTGCACTGTCCCATCACTCATTCTGTGGTCGCGTGTAAAGAATGGCCCACCAGGCTGGCCCTCCAGTTTCTCATCATTTGCTGGGCTCTTATCAGGGCAGGCAACATCGGCTCAGGTGAGCATCCTCCTCCTTTGGATGTAGGCAAAGCTTGGGATCATAGCTTGAGGTGGTCCTGGCCCCACTTCATTCAGAGGCTGGGCAGGGTGGCCAGTTCAGGACGGCTCCAAGAAGACAAAGGAGAGAGAGGAGGTCTAGCTCTCTCTCAGCTGACTGTTTCAAGAAGCTCCCTGCTGGGTAGACTTCCCTGGGAGGAGTTGCAAAGAGAAGCCTGGGCTTCCAGACTATTACAGCTTTGTGGAGTAATTACCATATGAAAGCAGGTGAGGGAGCTGTAACATGGATACCCAGGGATGGCAGAGCCGCTGGGAAAGGAGGGAGTTGTTGGCAACCGCCCCAGAGAGGCGCTCGCTGCAGGCGGTGCCTGGCCCACATCCCTCTAATCTGGGGCACTCACCACTCCCTCCCAGGCCCCTCCCTGTCACCACTTGGCACCCTAAGGCCTCAGGGGCACCCTTGGGGTGGCAGAACAGTTGGGACCGAGAGGTAGATTCCAGGCCCTAGGGCTGTATGTACCACAGGTACCGGTTCTAGGCTTGGTTCTTCTGTTGTTGCTGTCAAGGAAATCTTAAGACCAGGCCCATCAATCTGCCTTTCTTCTCATGTGCACACTTTCTTCCCTGGATATTTAGTCGTTGTGGCTTCCTAATGTCCCCTTCCCCCTGTGGGCTTAGGTTTCTGTTTGGCTGTGTGGGCCAGTCACACTGGCTTTCTAGGCAGAGCCTTCACTGCGGGTCGGTCCCTTATAGAAAGGACACAACTGGCTACCCTTGCCGTGGGCAGTCCCTTGGGATGGGGACCTTCCAACAGCGATGGCCACTGTCACACAGCATCAGGTTTGTGCTGTGGTGGAAGGTCCTATGCACAATGGCTTCCTTTAGCGGTCAGCAGGGGTGTACCACCCCACAGAATGGCCACCCAGGATTCTTGGGGCCCTCTGCTTTGTGCCTGTTTTTGTGTGGTGCTCTCCCCGCCGCCCCCCCCCCCCCCCCCCCCCGTCAGCCTTGATTCCCAGACAAAAGCCTGTCTGGGGGGCACAGAACCAGCTACAGTGGAGGTGAGGGGCTCCATGGGAACCACTGTTTGTTTGGCAGGCTGAGCATGTCCTGACCCACTAGGGTGGGACAGATGAGCCAAGCTGGCTGCTCAGCTGGAGAGGGGCTGGAGCACAATGAGGGTCAAGGGCAGAGTATGTTGAAAAGGGGTGAGTATCCCAAGGACTTGAGGGGGGAGGGGGTAACTATTGCTAAGGTTACACATGCCTCTGCTCAAAAATGTATGCACTTCCAAGTTCATGCCCAGCAGGGTTCTTTTCTTGCTGGTTGTTGGGAATGAGGTGGGCAGAGCTGGGACCCCAGGGAGCTGTCCCCACGGCTTCTGCACCACCAAACGGTAGAGTTCCCTAGCGCCCAAAGGGACTAGAGGGTCTTTTTGCTGATCCAGTTGGATGAGACTCACGGCAGCAGTAAGCCAGGGCTGGGGACAGCAAGCAGCCCCCGCCGAGTGTGTGGACCGGCCAGTCACACCGGGCACCCCCCACCCTTGCGGTGTTCCATGAGACAGGACTTGCTCTTAGCTCTGCAGCAGCTGCTTGGGGTTGCGGGGAGATTGGGCAGAAGTCAAGTAGGATGTAGTGTGTAGATGGCATGGGAGCTTGAACCTTTCTGTGTTGGTTTCATGGAAGTGTGGTTTGGACTCTGACTTAGGGCGGATGGGTTCAGTGACCCTGGAGGTGTGGGGCCGGCTCCGGGCTTTGCTCGGTGTTGAAGGCCTCTCCTCCTTGCACCCTGATCCCACTAGCACAGGAACGGCTCTACTGGGAAGATGGCTCCTGCCAAGGTGGGGAGGGAATACTTCTTTACCACAAATACGTCACGGCAGAGATCAAGATTTCAAAGGAAATTTATTATTTTTGAAAGGTCTGAGGGGGACTTTACAAGAGTCTGAAGCCAGTAACTACAAAGGATGATAAATAAAATACAAAGCCAGTATGTTGTGGCAAATTTCCAGAAAACACATTGAAAATCTTTACAGTTCAAAACTGTTTCACTTTTATACATAATTACAAATTACTATACAGCGCTTGGGTTTAACCCAACTTTTTATTTCATAGGGCTTAGTACAGAAATGTTCATACAGCATTTGGAGACAACAAGAACAGAGGTATAGGTGTATCCTGCCCACCTTCTGTAGCGCCCAGGCCTCAGGAGGGAACCTGAGACAAACCGACTGGGTAGGCCCATGCCAGCAGCTGGCAAGCAGGGCAGGGCTGCTGACTTTAGAGGGTCTAAGGCATGGGTTCTGTGCTGCCTGCAGAGGCCCGCGGGGACTGTGGCAGGACTGTGGCAGTGGCACCTGTCTGGTTTCCAGGAAGGACACACTTGAAGCGGTGGGAGCTGCCCACCTTACACCTTAATGAGATGGAGAAGTAACTCAGGACCTGTCAATCTTTTGACAAATGATGTTGTCAGGAGTGCAGGAAAAGGCCTCTATTGCCACCTCTCCCCCCTTTTATGGCAGCGTTAGAATACTTTGCATTTCTAAACCTGGCCAGCAGGTGACAGACTCCGAAGCTCTGGTTAACTAGGAATGTTATGCTACGTGAAAGAAGACAAGGAGCCAAACCCACTATGCCCTCGGTCTCTGCAGGGATGGCCAGGGTCGCTGCCTCACCCAGAGGCACCCATGCACAGATGTCCAGGCACGGAAGCCCACTCTCCACGACTGTCTTTTGGGCACAGGTCAGAGTCCCATGAAACACCAAAAGCCTTGCCAAGAGAGCCTCGGGGACAGAAGGAAACATTAAAGACTTGTATAGAGAGCGACTCTGAGCGAGCTCTGGCCTATGGGCCAAGGTTCCGTCCTTTCCTAAGCCTGTGCATGCTAACATCACCCCAAGGAGTTCAACATCTGTGCTTACTGCTAATACGAGGCAGTGAAGGAAACCAAGGCGGGGGCGGGGAGGGACTCGCCAGGGGCAGTGTTAGTGGTGTGACCCTCAGAAGATTCAATTCGTACCTTTCAAAAAATCAATCTTGGGGAGGGTTTTCCTGCGGGTGACTCTCATGGGGTGGGGTGGGGCATGCTGGCATGCTTTTATTTTAACCCTCCCCATCTTCTAGGAAAACAGTTAACACCTTTGATTGTCTCAAAAATGAAGCCAGCTGATGAGAGGTCATTTAAAGTGCACATGTCACCCAGATGGGACGACAACTACTGAGATGATTATAATTTTTGAGAGAAGATACAATCTTCTAGAAAGTTCACTGGATTCCACAATGCTGGGGCCAATTTGCACACGTCCCCCGAAGCAGCGGTTTCTATAGCTTGATGTATGGGCAACAGGACAGGACAGAGTCCTGGTCCCTGGAAAACTACCCTTCTCTTTGAGAATCCCACAGAAAGCTGTGGACTCGGCTGAAGCGATCTCCAGGGTCCTAAGCAAAGGCACAGCAGCAATTCCCAAAGTGCGGCAGGCTCTGAGGGGCCAGACGGTGTAGCAGGTCAGTTCTTGGCAAAAGGTTCTCTTCCTGGAGGAGGCTGGGCAGCTTAGGGGAACTCAGAGGGTTACTTTCTTGTTGACCTGAACTTCTCCCAACTGTCACTGATCATTGTTTTGGGGAGTGGGGGTAGAAGTGAAATTGGTTTTTAAAAACCACCAAAGCAACTCCTGCACCTGGTTGGGAGGACACTTGAGGGCCGGAGTGAAGCTTCCTGGGGGTGTGCAGTGGCTCCCTGGGCATGTCAGGAAACCTGGAGGAGTCACTAGCCTCCCTCTGCACGGGGAAGAGGGCAGGGTTTGGTCTGATTGGCTGGCAAGTCTAGGTGGTAATCGGACCCTTTCCCTTCTAGCAAACGGGCTCCTCTGCTGTGGAAGGGTGCAGCCTCTCCGAGGGACATTCAGGGGCAGGGTCCAGGACTGCCAGGGAAACCCTGTGGGGGTCGGGGCACAACAGGTTCTGCTGGGACAGCAGTCTGGACTGGGAGGAGGAAGCAACTCACTTCTTGCAATTAAGGTTCTTGAGGGAAATACATCATAGTTTTAGTAGGAAAAAAAAAATCAGACTTTAAAGAGCCAAACTGGCTTTATCAAAAAGAGGCAAAGGTAGCCGATGGGCAACTTTTAAAATCTCCAAACAAGGACCAACACATTCCTTATGAAAAAAAAAAAAAAAAAAAAAAGGGCCCGGACGGGAAGGGTACAGCTCCCACCTCCACCCTTGAGTTCCCCTCGGGACCTTCGTGCACTTGGACAGACACTTCATTCTCTGTACTGAGAAGATGGTTCAAACTGTTGGGCCAGTACTGGTTCACTTTCAAAATAAAATAAAATAAAATAAAAACAAAGCACAAACACAAAATAAATAAAACAAATTTAGGCTAACAAATTTTACCCAGAACTCTTTCAAGTAAACTGAAAGATAAATATCTGCATCTGCAAGTCCAGCTTGCAGGGTATCAGCAAGCACCAAGTCACAGGTTTGTCTCTGCACAACTCTGTTCAAGGCCCCGTGCTTCAGAGGGCGACACCAGGAACCCAAGGCCACGCGTGAAGCACAGACCCCAGCAAGCCCCTCACTGGGAGTACCCCGAGGGACAGGTACGTGAGCTTTCGCGGGTACATTACCAATGAACTGTCCTGCACACACGAGCTGGTGAAAGCCTCAAGCATGCAGAGATCAACACACGGAGATGGAGGGCGAGAGGAGAGACAGGCTTGAAGGTAAGAGCACAACCAAGCAGATTGCATCTGAAAACCGTCTATGAGAAGGCCTCGTGACCGAAGAGAGGGCACCCAGCCACGCTTCAGGGCCAGCTCCCCTGTCTGTATTGGCAAAACTACCAGACAGACTTAACTCCTGCACCTGAATCTACTTTTCAGCCAGTAATCCTAAAGCAGGGCATGGAGAGGCCTCAGGGGACAGACTAGTCCTGGGCAGGGGGCTGGGAGCACCAACAGGGTGCATGCTTTCCCACAGGAAGGTCCAGTAACAACTAGAAAGTGTCATACTGAGGACAGTGGTGACGAGTCCTCTCTACTTCCTCTGTGCCCAGAGCATTTCGACAGGCACCTAGGACAGCAGGATGTTTCTTCCTGATTTGAATATGAAGTGTGAGATAGTTAGTTCAGCTTAGAATAGAGATCCAGGTGGTGCAGACTACCTGCTTTTCGTACACATCAGGCCTCTCGCTGGTTCCACAAACATCCTGTTGTTCTTCCTAAAATAAAATGAGGGACACATACAAAGAAGGGTGGTGTGTGCGCAGGGGCTGTTTCAAGGGACCCGATCTCAGAGGACCGCAGGGTGAAATACTGTATCTCCACATGCCACCTGGCCAGTTAGGCGCTTGCTCTTGGCCTAGGCTATCCTGGTGTGTACACAGCTGGCGTACTCGACATGCAGATGGTCACTGTATGCAGATGAAGTCTATACTATCTGCTCTTGGGTCCTGGTTGTATTCCCCCAAAGACAAGGCAGGGTTTCAGACCTCACTTGGAGAAACTCTTGGAGCCTCTAGGGAATCCTGACATGTCTCAAACTATTTCCTACGTCTAGGGCCACTACTTTCAGTGGAACACCCTGAGTAAGGCCAGGCCCACCCAAGTCCTGGGCAGTCACGGATCACGGTGGAAGTGGAGTCTGAGCGTCCTTCTCCACCCCGACACGCAGCTGTTTCTCTTTCTTGTCCAGGACCTGGGATAGCTCAGGAGGACTGGACGCTGAGGGGCAGTGGGCGTCCAGTGTAAGAGACTCGTGCTCAGGGGCAGCACGGGTGCCGCAGCCACACCACTGTCGCGTCAGGGTTGGAAGGTGGCTGCCCTGGCAGGTTCAGGAAACGGGTCAACAGAAGATCTCTTCACCCTCGGCTGACACTTCCGAAGCAGGACCATCTGCAACCGTGAAACCGAGAGTGAAAACATGGCTCTCCTGACGTCACTTCCTATCCTGTCAAGTTTCTGTGTTAAGACAGGTGACTGGGGTTCTTGGCACATACTGATTAGTTTGCAGAGTGAATAACCTTTACACAGCACTAGTGTTCATGTTTATAAATAGGCCTAAGAAATGTAAATCTCCCACACGGAAGCCAGAGTTCAGTCTTACTGTGAAGGCAGACATAGCAAGGGATTCCGGACAATGTGGAATCCAAACAAGGAGGCTCTGTGAGCACCCTAGAGAACCTCTCAGCTCCAGTTCCTAACTTCTCCCAGGGAAATGAGTAGATGACCTGGTTATACATCTGGAAGGTCAACACCCAACCTTGCCATTGTATTGGTTACTAGAGTAAGCCTAGCAAGACAGTGAGGGCTTGGATGACTTCCATTAGGTGAGTTAGTTCCTCAATTGGGAGAATGCTCCAGAAATGAAACCCGTACTCCACATGCAGGAGGCCCAGAACACTGGGTCTTGGATGCTCATTGCACAAGCAATCTTTTTGAAAAACAGTATGCATGTTTCCCTGCATGTACGTTATGTACAACAGGTTCAGGCATACATTCGGCCCACAGTGATCAGAAGAGGGCATCAGATCCCTTGAAACTGCAGTTACAAGTGGTTGTGAGCTGCTATGTGGTGTGGGGAACTGATCCTGAGCCCTCTGCAAGGGCAGTGACTCCAACCTCAGAGCCATCTCTCCAGCCCTGCACAAGCATTCTTTCCATGTGTCTCCATGCGCATGGATGCCAGAGGCTTATTATTATTAGTATTATTATTATTAATTTGGAGACAGGGTCTCTTACTGAACCCAGAGCTCACCAAAGTGACTACACTAGCTTGTGGGTGAGTTCCAGGGATTCTCTTGCCTCTCTGCCTCCCACCTCTAGGGATAGAATTGAGGTCCTCATGTTTGAATGGCAAGCACCTTACAAACTGGGTCATCTCTGCAGCTCCTGTAACAAGTATTCTCAGCAAGTGGTCCTAGTGGGCAGGGGGCAGCTTGGCTTTTGTACATCTGACCTGTTCTGTTTTTTTTCTCTCCCGGTCCGTCACTACCCTCTCCTGTAGAATGCAGACGCCATGGCCATGGGGACAACTCACCACCAGGCTGAGAGCGGCCTCCTTTGCTCTTCTTTTTCTTCTCCTTCTTCTCCTTTGGCTTAGCTAACCCAAAAAGGCGGGTGGAAGTGGAGGTGCTGGGTGGGGCCTGGCTCTGCCCCTCTGGTACTTTTGTCTGGCTCGTTGAACTCAGTATATGAAAAGACCCCTTATCTTTGTGTGTCCGAGAGATGCTGTTCCTTTTAGGAGACACCAAGAGTTCTGAGTCCAATGACCCTGATTTGGTTATGGAAGGGGCAGATGGTAAGGAGAACTCATCCGGATTGGGCAAGAAGGACGGGACTCGCATCAGCCTGGCATGTTTATTCGAAACCTGCATATGTTCAAGAGAAGGCATTTAAAATGTGAAGCCGTCAACATCTCAGCAGCCACACTCTAAAGAACGTACTGTGAACAGGACTGCATGTAACTGCTCCTTCTCAAGTACTATCTATGAGCATGTTCAAGCCATCACGTCCAATACTGATGTCATTCTTATCTTTGATGAGGCAACTCAAAAAAGAACTCCCACTCCCTGAAGAAACAGGATAGTGGCCCATTTAAAGACCCATTCAGACAAGAGTGCAGATATCCCTTCAGGGCAGAGATTATGGACCTGGCCTGAGCGTTCCAGAAGAGCATCATCCCACCTTCGTTCTCTGCTGCCTGAGAACCAACCCTCCCTTGTCAAAATTCTGCTGATTTTACTGGGGTGTGAGTGGATCCACCCTTCTGCTAGAAGATGCAACAGAGCCACTGGCTGCTCCCTGCTATGGACTTGAGACGCTCTTCTGAAAAGGCAGTACCGCCTGACCCTGGGAGACATCAGTTTCCTTTCAGGGTCCAAGGTCAATTAAAGGGCAACGTGACAGCAGTTTTAAAAGACAGGGAGATGTACCCACTACCAAACTATCTATCTGCCTCCAGTGCCCATGGTTCAGGACAATCACACATTATCTCTTTACAGTAACAGGAGACTCAGCATGTCAAAGGACAGAAAGCCTTCCTGAACAAGCAGCAGCTACTGAGAAAAGAAGAGCACGGAAAAGCATCAAACCAAACCATGCATTACACAGAGTGCAGGTGCTGAATATGCCTGCCCAGACCTCATCTGTGACTACCTTCTATCACTTGCTGGGCTCTCCCACCTGTCTCTGACCTCCGCCGCCCATCCTCTCAACAGGTTCTTTATCCTGTAGCAGAGCTAATCCTGCTGTCTCCTGACCACAGGCATGTAGGTCCTAAGGGCGCCTCTGTCCTTGGTATGCTTCCTATTTGTGGGGACACATGCCTGATCTACCATGTGCTACAGGACCAGGGCTCACTGTTACTCTCTCAGGCATGCTGAGGCTACTCTGGCCCAGGCTGGTGGCTGAGAAAAGTGTTTGCTAGCTTGAAGGACCCACTGATTTCTCTGTGCTACAATCTCAACACATCTGCCACCCTCTTCAATCTCGAGTGAGACTCCCTTCCTCCACTTGTTCAGGGTAAGGCAAAGTACAACATGAAATCTCTGGCTGGTTCTCTTCCACGTGGCTCCTATAACCACCCTCAGTCACGGCCCGGTCTTCACAGTAGGATACCCCTTCCTCCCCGTCTCCTGGCCCGGCGCAGGCTCTTAGGTACCTGGCAAAGGTCCTGATCCATCTGCCTCTGGCTGAGCCGCTCTGCATCCCGCTTCAGCTGCTCCTGTTCTCTCTCCAGCTGTTTCTGGGCAGCCCGGAGCCTCTCCAGATCACACTGGTAAGTGCCCTTCTTCTGCTGGAGCTCTTCCCGGTCCCTCTCCAGGTCCTGCTGCCTACGGCGGACTGTCTCCTCCCGCTCGGCCAGCTTGGCCTCGCGGTCTCTTAGCTCCTGCTCCCGGGCCTCCCACTCCCGCTCACGGCGGCGCTTTTCCTCCAGGTGCTGGGCCTGCTGCTTCTGCAGGTTGGCCAGGTCCTGGCGCTGCTTCTCCAGGCTCCGCTGCTTCTCCTGCTCAATGAGGGAGCTGGGGCGGGCCGCACTCCTTGTCAGGACCTTCTCTGTCAGCACCAGCTTCTGGTCCTCAATGTAGCTATCCTGTTGTAGCACAACACCCTGTCACGGTAGAGAGAACCGTCATGCATCTCAGGCCCAGGAGAAAAGCCACCTGCAGGGATCCTTCCCGATCCCACCCTAGGGTACTGGGACAGAATGATGCCCCTCTCCTGTTCTAAGGGTTTGGTCTTAGAACACACTATGCTCCAGGGCAACTTTGGGCAGACAGGGGAACTCAATTTTGTCAAGCCTGGTCATCTATTTTCTCTTTAAGCTAAAGAATAATTTCAATTTATTTTGCGTGTGCCAAAGAGGACGTGTGGAGGTCAGAGGACAACCTGTGGGAGTCGTTCTCTCCTCCTGCCACGCAGGTCTTGAGGACTGAACTCGGGTAGTCAAGGCAGGCATGTTGACCTGCTGAACCATCTCACTAGCCCTGGTCATACAGTTTCTGGAATTCTTGGTGGTACTTTGGGGTGAGATGAGTGTGTATGCTGTGCAGGAGGGAGAAGGTAGGAAGGAGACAGGTAAATTCTTCAAGAAAGGAAGGGACCAGAAAGAGGGTGGTCCCTGGGGAGTACCAGAGAGTATGAGAGAGCCACCCTACACAAACACCACGGAGAGATAAGGGAAGGTTTTCTGAGGTGAGACAGCCTCTGGCGAAGGCCCCACACTATCCAGCAGCTCCGAGAGTCCAGCAGCTGCTCTCGAACTGTGGTCCTGAAGGACCACACACTGTAATGTCTTCATTTTCTCAACCAGAAGCTAATCTTCGGCTTATTTACCAACAAGTAACTTATAAATCCGGAAGACGGAGGTCAATAAAGTCTCTGTACTGTGTTCTCTGAAGAGTAAGCACACAGATAAAAAAGGCACAGGTACCTGCAGCATGCTCAGGAGTTCGTGGAGGTGAACAATGCTCCGGACAACCTGCTAGCAGAGGAATAAACAGTCACTTCAGTTTTTCCGATGCAAAAACACCACATGGTTGTAACATCTTCAGAACACAACAAGACACTACATTTTAATGAAATCTTTTAAAATTGAAAGACTCCAAGAGAGTACCTGAATGCAAGCAGCCAAGATTAAAGTGATCTGTGTGTGCGCCCATGTGTATACATCTATTAAAAGGCATTACACAAAGCTTCCACTTTCTAAATTGGCTGACATAAAAATAGTATATTCCTCAAAGTTAAAACAAAAGAATTCTCTGAAAATTTATACTGTTTATTAATAATAATCAAGGGCAAAGGAAAAATATTCAATTTCTCTAAAAAAAACCAAAAACGGTCTTCATTTCTGGAAAACTTTAAGTTAGAAACCTTGGTTCGTACACACACTGAACAAAAATACAATACATCCCATTTAAATTCCAAGTATAAGGGCTAGAGAGACGGCTGGGTGGGTAGGAGCACTGGGGTTGATTCCAAGTACCCACATGGCAGCTTACAATTGTGTGACTCCAGTCTCAGGGGATACATTGACCTCTTCTGGCCTCTGCAGGCACTAAGGGGGCTAACACCCACACACATAAAATAAAATAAATCATAAAAGAATTAGAAGAAAATACAAGAAGAGATATGGAATATCCTAGTTTAGAAACAGGACAGAAATACAAATCAGCAATTTACAGAAGAAAAAAAATAGTTAATTATATAAAACATGAAAGGTTTTCAGGGACTGAGGTATAGCTCAACGGTTGAGGCTGTGGTTCAATCCACAGAACACATATACACACATGCACAAGTCAAGCAATGTTTGAAACGTCAATTTAAAAATGGTAGTGCTCAATGCTGGGGAAAGAGAATGAGGATGGATGGCCACACCTGGCCACACACTAGCTCCTTTCACAAAGTCATGTGTTGAAGAAAATCAAAGAGCCGTGTAATAAGTGCAATGTGCAAAGAAGCAGAAGAGGGATTAACGACCAGAAAGCTCCAACTCCAGGACCCGACAGAAGCAGTTACATGCACTTGTTTAGTGGCAGGCATTGTGCTCCTGTGTCTTGGGAAAATGTCTGACACATTGAGAGACCTCAGGAAGGTCACCCACACGAGCATGTGATGGATAAGAAAAGGGCAGACACAGACACTTAACATTTATTACTCTTCAGTGATGGGTTAGGCTTAAATTCATTTGATTTCTGTTGCTAGTCTTTACATTTTTCTTTTTATAACACTTAAGCCAAGCTTAGTTCTGGGAACCTTTTCTTATCGCTCACACTGAATCTTAACAGAAGGCTCAGAAGCCTGCCACTGCAGCTGTGCAGTGCAGTGTGAAAGCCTGGCACACTATTTCCCACCAGACTTCCTCAGTAAGTACAGGGGACCTCGCCACACGGAAAAAATCAGCTGACAGCTCATTTCAGGACACAGATACAGAGCACCTGCCTACAGGGCCCAGGCCCTGGTTCTATCAGGGGAGTCCCTCAGCAAACTCCTCTGCCAACAAACACAAAACAACATCCTCTGGATGTCTGAGGGGCAATGGGGAGGAGGAAGTCGTTTAAAATTTCAAAACAAAACTCCCGTGAGTTTAATAAACACAACCAGGAAGACTGAAATGCAGGAAACAGCCCTGAGAAACACTGGAAAGGCATGGGTTCAACTGTGCAGGACACAAAAGCAAGGCTCAGCATGAGCGCCTGTCTAAGAGACAGCAGTGACCCAGAAGCTGATTCCAACAGGCATTAGGGGTGGGGCTCAGTGACAGCAGTACCCCAGGGAGGGAAGGAGCAACACGGCCCAGCCCAGGACAGATTCTCCACTGGGAGGACTTCAGGCTCCCTTGCAGGAAAGGAAGGGTCCAAAGAGGTCAACTCAGTAAGGCTAAGAAATCACTAAGGAGAATTTGCCACAAGTTTAATTCACAGGCGCTACACCTGTGGCCACTGGGATCCTTTCTCCTACAGGAAAAGCTGCTACAGATTATACCCAGTGGGCCCAGACTGAAGGCACCAAGGAGGCTTCAGAGCTATACGGTGGCCCACGCCTTTAATCCCAGCACTCAGGAGGCAGAGGCAGGTGGATCTCTGTGAGTTCTAGGACAGCCTGGCTACACAGAGAAACCCTGTCTTGAAAAATGACATAAGGAGAGAGAGAGGGAGGGAGACAGAGAGAGAGAGAGACAGAGACAGAGAGAATCAGAGAGATCCAGTCATAGTATACAACACTCTGGTAAAGTATCAAAACAGTTGTCTTATGCCCAGGAAATGTACAGGTATACTCTTCAGTTATAAAATATTAAAGCCACAAGATACTTGTAATAGCAAAACAAAAATATTCTTAACCCAATAAATATCCTAGATAGTTCAAGGAATTCTTACCTCACTGTTTCTTTTAAGCATAAATACCAGGTTAGCATTTCCACCCTATAAAATAATAGCAAAAATGCATTAAAAATGAAAATCTTGATGTAAAAGATTTTATACTCAATGCGTTTCTAAGTTACACTGTACTTCTGCTTTCCTTTTTTCTACCGTAGCATTTCCCTGGAGGGCATCAAGAGAAGAAGGTGAACTAGTCTGTACTAAAAACAACAACAACAACAACAAACCTGCGGAGCAGGATCGGGATGGCATGGGGGCACGACACAGGCTGTTTAATGAACCTGGTCATGCCAGGGCACAGCAGAATCGGGTCTATAAAGAGGACACTCTAAGCCAGGGGGCCCAAAGCACCAATAATATGGTCCTCTCAACTGTACGGTTAGCTCTAAGAATGTGCTTCCCTAGAAAATGAAGTTTCACTGTGAGTGGCAAGCTGAGTCCTGAGCCAGATCAAGGAAAGATACTTCACAAGGGTAACGAAGTCCAAGGAGGTGCCAAGAGATTCACAGATGCGAGCGCTTTTCTAGAAAACCTTACCTTTTTCAGACCACTGTCCGATTCTGTTCTCCTAAGATCTTGGCTGTCGTCTCCCTCTTCTTTCTCTCCTCCTAAACAAACCACAAACAGATGAAAACATGCAGACAGTTTGGGGGTACTAAGACTTCTGAATTCTGTTAATACCAAAGATTAAAAAAATAACAACCCCCCCCCCCCCCCGGCAAAAAAAAAAAAAAAAACCCAGGAAGCCACTCAGTGGCACTCGGCCACGAGTCACAGCTTAACGAAATCCAAACAGAAGGAAACAAACCCCCAACACAGCTTAGCACCCCTTATTTGAGCTTCGGATCTTTGAATCCATGTAATAATAAGATACTTGGAAGATGCGGCTCTGTCCAGACACAGAATTATCGAATGTCTCACAGACACTTCTGCACACAGCCTGGAAAAAATGTTATACGATGTTCTGAGCACACTTGTGTTCTCGGTGCGACTTTTCACGTGTGGGGTTTGCAACGGTGACATGTCAGAACGTTCTGAACTATGGAGCAGTTTGGACATCAAATTTTCAGATTAGAGCTGCTCAAGGCCTCTGGCTACAGTAAGCTCAGCTGAGGAGCAGAAAAAAAAGCTTATTGTCCCCAACGAACATGATTCTGACAGGAATTCTTGAGTGTTTGAGACTCTCATGAAGACATTTACTGATGAAGGGACAGAGGAGATGGAGCCACCAGAATCCAGGTCACAGTGAGCTGCAAAGGAATAATGGGTGGGTCACCTTTGGAAGCATTCATCTGATGGCAGTCAAATCCTCCAAAGGTCTCTGCTCTCCGGGGCAAGGAAATGGGGCCAGCCATGACTTCCTGCTCAACAGGGCTGCTGACGGACTGTCCCAGTGTGCCACCAAGACTTCCACTCACCAAACCCTGGAGGATCTCCACTGGAATAAAGCAAACAAAACACTCAGGTGGATATCTATCTTTCATTAAGAGGAAAAAAATGTCATGGCAACATGTGATATGTACAGACTGGATCAGAAAATCCCAAAGAATAGGTAAAATTTCCTGCCTAGAGGGTGTTGGGCGGCCACATGCTTCAGCTGGGCTCTACTGGACATGTAGAGACAAATTTCACCCTTCCTTCCAAGGGCCTGAAAATCCGTAGGGAACAGAAGGGCTGAGTAATTGACTGGGAGGAGTATGCTTTCTAGAACTAGAGGCAAGTCACCATAAAGGTCTAAGGGAAATTGAGCCAGTTGGAGGACGGCAAGTAACTCTAGCAGGAGCAGGTGGGCGTCAGGGGCCGGAAAAGCTTCAGCATCTGGATCTTCCGATCTAAGGTTAACTGTTAACTTGAGATCTTCCCTAGGGCAAGGCGAGAAGAAAGAAGAATAGGAGAGGAACAGAGGTGAGGGAGAAAGAAGAGCCAGATGGAATCAGAGGTAGGAAAAAAAAAATCTCGTAACAAGCATCAAATTTTAATAAGGCATAAAAACAGTATAAAAATATAATTAAAAAGGTTTTTTTTTTTTTTTTTTGAGAAATGGTCTTACTGTGTATTCCAAGCAGACATTGAACTCATAGAGATCTGCCCACCTCTGCCTCCTGAGTGCTTGGACTAAAGGAGTGTGCCACAAAGCCTAGCAAGAAACATCATTTGAAAGTAAAAATTTCATGGGAAAAAACCGAGCAAGTAAAAAAATACGGACGTCAAATCCCATGAGAAAACACGAATGTAACTTCCTATAGATAATCAGAGCAGAGCAGAAAGATGTTTCAATTAAACAAATAAGATAAACACACTGAGGAAATGATGCAAAACACAAAAGAACTTCAGTCAAAATTAGAAAAAACAGAGTCGGTGCAGCGGCCCCTTTGCCATCTCAGCTCAGGAGACCGAGGCGCAAGATGCAGGTTGAGGCCAATGTGGTCTCCCAAACATGGCCTTAGCTCAAAAAAACTAGAAATGTAGAACAAGGTGAAACTCAGAACAGGCAGGAAAACTAATCACAGAAAGCAAAACGGAACAAACACATAAGAGAAATGTACCCCAGAGAAGGGCAAAGGAATATCAAAAGTGACAAATATTGACCCTGGGCAAGGAAGTTGTATGATATGGCAACTGGGTTGAAGAAGAAACCAAAGCCAGAGAACAGAGAAAATACAAAGAATTGCAATTCAAGAACGGTTTTCTGAAGCCGAAACTATTTGTCACCATGTTATTAAATAGACAGTGAGCCCACAACAACCAACCATATGGCATACTCTATCAAAATATTTGGAGTTAAAAACATCCTTTGAGCACCTAGGCAAAAAACATGTGACTCATATGGAGAAAATCAGATTGTTACTATCCTCTAAGAAGGATGGAAAAATGATTTGATATGAGAATCATTAACATATTCAGGTAAGAAAGTATGAGCCAAAGATTTTTTTTTTTTTTTTTGGTTTTTCGAGACAGGGTTTCTCTGTGTAGCTTTGCGCCTTTCCTGCGACTCACTTGGTAGCCCAGGCTGGCCTCGAACTCACAGAGATCCGCCTGGCTCTGCCTCCTGAGTGCTGGGATTAAAGGCGTGCGCCACCACCGCCCGGCATGAGCCAAAGATTTTATATCCAGATTTTCAAGTAGAAAGAGGACAAATAAATAAGTCAGAAATATTTTGATGGAGCTTTGAGGACACTGACTGAAGGACAGGGTACTATAAGTGTGTGTTTAAAGAACCAATAGGCTAGGAGCAGAGTCATATGAATGCTGACAGACTAGATGTGTAGACACAGTTTAACTACTAAAGAAGGAACGCAGAATGGGAGACAGTCTTGTGTGTCAAACTGTATTGGCAAGAATAGCAGTATTATTCTAACATAAGTACCAGTGTTAAAGCAGGATTAAGACATTATTATGGGGTATTTTTTAATGTACTTATAATTAAAAACATTATTTATTCCATGTGTGTGTGTGTGTGTGAGTCCATGCACATGGGGGAGGGGAGGCATGAGTGTGGAGGCCAGAGGATAACTTGCAGCAGCTGGTTCTTCACTTTCATTATATGACTTCTAGGAATCAAACTCAGGTCATCCATCAGGCTTTGCAGCGGGTACCTTTCCCTAAACTAGGCCATCTCATTGACCTAGTAGAGGATAGTCTAATTCCATAATGTATCCTAGAGAAGGAATACCCCCATGTGGAAAGGACAGACATGTATAAGTGATTAGGTTATTTTAAAAAGGCAACCTGTAATCCATAATTTGATTCGCTACACCCAAGTGAATTTACATTATTGAAGCCCCTCTCTAGCTTGGTCCACTGAAAAGGACAACATAGTAATGACTAAAAATCTCATCGCAATGACTATCTGCAGTACCTAAATAAAGATCTTAAAATACTTTTCATTAAAGGAGATCAGAATTCTCGAAGAAATGAATGGACCAGCAAACAACCAAGTATAGCTTAACTCCAGCAAGCAAGGCCATGCCACAGATTTAGAAGCCACAGGAATACTAGTCAAGTGGGGAACATTGAGCTTTACATGAGGCTGAGAACTGCTCGGTGATCTAGAACCCATCAAGTATGTTTAAATCCATGAATCCAAAAGCAACTCATTTTGGTGCTGGGTACTGAACACAAGGCCCCTCATGCATGCAGAGCTCTACCCCTGAGCTACACTGCAGCCTCATAACAATGTGTACAAAATAGCTCAAGTCCTACCAGAGGATTCACACAGACCAGTTTACTGACAACTGGCACATAAAGAGAAGAAGCCCCTTCCCTGTATGATTCATCCTTTTATCCAATTGTTCCTATGTCACAGAAAAAGAACTAACTAGGGCCCGATGCTTCAACACCACAGGAATCTTAGTAAATCCATCAAGTCTGAGAAGTTCAGCTTCTGAAATCAGCTGTGATGGACAGACCATATGGAAAAATCTGACCAGTGGTTCAAAAAGTACAACTAATCTAAAGATTAACTGCACAGCAAGGATGGGGATGGTGGGCTTGCGGGATGGCTCAGCAGGTATGTGAGACAGTTATACGTCACCTTGACACCAACTAAACTTATCTGAGAGTAGGGAACCTCCATAGAGAAAAGGCCTCCATAAGACTGGGCTGTGGGTAAGCTTGTAAGCAGCACTTCCCCATGGCCTCTGCATTACTAGCTCCTGCCCTGTGTGAGTTCCTGTCCTGATTTCCTTCAGTAATGGACTACAATATGGAAGTGTAAGGCAAACAAATCCTCTCCTCCTCAACTTGTTTTTGGTCATGGTGTTTGATCACAGCAATGGTAATCCTCAGTAAGACAGCAGGTAAAGGCATTCACCATGGAGGCACGCCTGATGATCTTGAGTCTGATCTCTGGGACCTACATGGTGGTCCCAGACTCCCCAAGTTGTCCTCTTACCTTCGTATGTATATCAGGGGTGTGTAAACCCACCCACATGCACATACACGGTAAATACACTAATGTAACTTTAAAAACTAAAAAGAAGGGGTAAGTTCTTAAGCGATTATGGATACGAGTTAGGGCGGCTGCTCCCGTTAGGAGGATGTTAAGTGTGATGGGGACATACAAAGGCTTTCATGGTATCTGCCACGTTTCTTTCCTAACTTGGGTAGTGACAGGAAGGGATGCTTACCTGACAATTTAACTACAGTGATAGTGGGAAGTTTTTTTTATACTGGTGTTTTGTTTTATAGTAACAGCAAACACTGGTAGGGGACATGAGTGTGCAAATCCCTCCAGGACAGGCTAGAGAGGGCCAATGGTGTGTGCAAATTACCTTCACTTATTGCACTTTTCATCAGCGGCCCTCCTTTGAGAGCCTCCTCCGTGTTGGAGCGGAAGAGGACTCTCGGGCTGTGCGTTGGGGAGCAATCCTCGGGCAAGGGAGTGCTGCACTCTGTCATGTCCCGGAAAATCATCTCCTTCTCCTCCAGCAAGAGGAGGATCTGCTGATCCTTCTGTTGAAGTTGTTCTGCAAGGCAAATGGAGAAAGGGCCTGACTTGTCTGGAGCTAGGGATCACAAGATGGCTGAGAGATGAGCACCCCCTAGTGGCGGTTATGGAAAGGCCCGAGACAGAGCACAGCATCAGGCTTCCACACTCTGAAACTGCCCTGGGTTCTTTTCTGAGAATGCCAGCATTTCTTGCCTAACTAATCTGTGCTTTGTTTCTGCTCCTCTCCTGTCTATTTCTCTTCATCACACTGTGGCTTTCGCTCCTTTCTGCAACTTCCTTAATTACAGAATCCAAAGAGTTAAGAGTTATTTTGAGGTCTTTTCCTGCAAGGACAATTACCCCCTTTCTGAAACAATCTCCTACCCGTGCCGCACTGAGGACATCAGAGTCTCCCACGGGGCATCCTACGGGTCCTCCATCCGCAATGGAATGGCACAGCTGGCCTGTCCTGTATATTTTATCCACTTTGCTCCTGGGGCTCCCACGCATTGTCAGCTGCCTCTTGTATGCTGGTGATCCCCAGCAAGCACCCCCAAAACCTACTTTATTTCCTGACCATCAGACCCGAGTCAACTATCAGGTGACTATCTCAACCAAGAGGGTGCTCTCGTGACGTCAGAAGGCAATCTTTTCCAGCTGATCACCTTCAGTTTACAGTCTCTTCCTTAGTCAGCAGTCTTTATCTCCCGGTTATCCAGCTCGGAAAACCGGTGGATTCTCCTTCTCACTCTGTCCCATCTCCCGCCCTCAGCTGACTAGTTTTTGTCTGTCTGTTTTTTTAAGTTTGTTCTTTGACGACTTCAAACATGTATAAAGCATATTCTTTGTCCCTAGTTTCTTTTCTACCCTTAGTATCCAGTTCCAGTAGTTTTCCTACATCCATGACTTTGTTGTTTGGTTTTTTTGAGACTCACTGAGTTTAACCAGGTTCATCTGTGTGACATCCATTGGAGCCGAATGAACTCCTCCACGGGGACTTCAGGCTACATTGCCCTTCTTCCCAGACCCATCAGCAGGGAGCGGGGAAAGCCCCGAGCTGTCCCTGACAGACTCTGGATGGGCCCGCTGTGGGCCCATAGCTGCTGTGAAGTCCGGACTGTAAGCATCATGCTATGCCCAGAAGACAGCACTCACAGCCTTTCTCCCTATCCTGATGCCCTTTCTTTCCACTTCTTCTTCCACCATGTTCCCAGACCTCAGAGGGAGTGGTATAAATGCCTTGCTTAGGGCTGAGGACTCGGTTGTCATTAACTTATTCTCAGCATCTTGAACAGCCATGTGTCTCTACATTCGCCACTGTTCTTTGCAGACCAGCTTCTCTGATTGAGACTGGAAGTAGCATTTTGATTAATAACCTCATTTCTTCAACTGTCCACTTTCCCACTCATCTCTCACCAACCTATTCTAAGGATCTCCCAAGTGGTCCATTTCCAGTGGCATCGCTACTTCCTCAAGCAATTCTCCTACAAGGATCCAAAACTTGAAAAAAAATTACATTGAAAGTATAGCATTCCCAGGACTGGAGAGATGGCTTGGTGGTTAAGAGCACTTGCTTTTCCAGAGGACTCGGGCTCAATGCCCAGAACCCATATTGCAGCTCACACCTGTCTGTAACTCCCTTTCCAAGGGATCCGATACCCTCACATAGACACACCAATGCCCACAAAATATAAATAAATTGTGTGTGTGTGTGTGTGTGTGTGTGTGTGTGTGATTTCCCTGTTTCCTTTGCAGAATGAAAGACCTGCAAGCTTTTGGCTCCTGTCACTTAGTCCTGACCCTGCGGATCTGCCACTCCTTGGCAGACAAATTAAATTCTTTCTCACATAACTATCTTAAGAAGCAAGATAATTTTTTTCAGACGTAATTTATGCAACAACTTCTGTGAGACTTAGAGGCAGAATGAACAGACCCAACATATTTTATATGGCCCACCAGACCAAACTATGGCTTGTCACTCATTTATATACCCTTTGAGTGTGAGCACCCAAGGGATATATTTTAGAAATCACTACAACCCTAGTACCCAGTAGTACTTTTAGCCAACTGCATAACAAATGTTAAGGAAGATTTTATCCCTGTCATCGTAATCACAGGCTACTAAGTTGATATACTAGTTTGATAAGATGTGGGTGTAAACTTAGCTATCTTTTTCTCCTCTCCCATCCTTCAGTGCAACAGAATTGTGCCACTTTGCAGTTTTCAGGACTAAGCTCTATGGGTACTGTATTCGTTTAACTCATGGCCTTATTTCTACCCAAAGCAGTTTTCAGAAAATTCAACTAGCATATAGTGAAGACAAGAAGACTCCCAGGCTCTAGTGTTGAATGAGAGGGAGTGTAGTCCCAGAACTCTAGAGCTGAGGCCAGAGGATCCAGAACTCAAGGCCTGCCAGGATGACCGAGCAAGGTCTTGTCTCACAACAAACAGAAAACAAAACAAGAAAAGATAGGGCTAAGAAAATCTGGCTCAGTCCTTAAGCATACAAACACTTGGCCCTGGGATGTTTGGCCTTTGGGGGATTCAAGTGTAATGGGGGGCAGACGAGACTCCGCGAAGCAGTGGGTCCTCCCTAAGCAGGGCTGCAAGCACAGCAGCCGCCCTCTCTGAACCACCCCCAGCTCATCTGTGAATATAACAACAGAGGCGGCCAGGACCGCAAAGAGCAGAAGAGACCGGCTGGAGAATCTCTTTCTCGTCTTCACCTTAGACATGACTATGAAATACGGCAAACTCTCCATGAGGAGCCATAAACAAAGTCACCACTGTCCAAGGACAAACACCAAGATCAGAGAATCCATAGTCCCTAGAGCTGGCTATTCATTTATTTTATATTTATATATATTTATAGTATTTATTTTATTTGTATAGGGCCTGCATGTATGTCTGTGCATCACATGCATGCCTAGTGCCCACAGAGGCCAGAATAGGGCACCATATCCTCTGAAATTGGAGTTATAGACGGGTACCTGGGACAGAACCAGAACCTCTGGAAGAGGAACCAGTGCTCCTGACTGCTGAGCCATCTCTCCAGCTCCACCAGACTGCAGATAAAGATCCACCAGACTGCAGATAAAGATCTCAGACCATTTCCAACATCTTACCTTTTAGCTCCCGGGCTTTGGTATCCAACAATTTCTTTTCTTCTTCATTCTCACTAGGAATCCCTTCATCTTCATCTCTGTTCCTAACATAACCAAAAGAAAGTAAGATGAAACAAACAGACAAAATGCCTAAGCTGTCAGCTAGATGGTCACAGACCTGTGTACACGAAGTCACACAGAGGCACGGGGAGAGGGGAAAGGGCAGGCCCTGGCGTCTCACTTACAGGGAGTTGATTGTATCCTGAATGCTGTGAATCCAGCTATTCCGCTCCTCTCTGGAGCTGGCGTGGACCTCCACCATCTCTGGATCTTTCACCCCCATACTGATGAGGAACAGACCTTTCTCCTCATGCGCCACTTCTCTTACAATCAGCTTCTTTAAGGAGATTACAGTTGACTTATGGTCCTGGACAGAGGAGAGAGGCAAGCGTAAGAAAGACATGCATGCAGGATACTCACTCTTGAAGACAACTCCAACCTAAGGTAAGCTCAGACAGTTTTAAATCCATCTGGATTAAAAAACAAAATAAAATCAATTTAATCCTTTTCCAAATACCCCCCCCCCCCCCCCCCCCCCCCCCCCGCAAGCTTTCAGATAAGCATTTATTTTATCATTCTACCCAAATTTGAACAAGAGACTTCCACACTGGAGATTAGCGGATCATGGTCATTTAAACTCTATCTATGTATTCTGCGTGATGAATCTGGGAGACACATCCCAGAAGAGGACATCTATTGCGATCAAATCATCAAAGTGTCCAGGGCATTCAAAAGGATTATGAAGGAACATAAAGATAATTTTGCGGTGGGACGGAGTAAGAACAAAAAATACCACAAGGGGATGTAAGAAATTATTTCGAGGAATCTTCTGTGAGTCAAGTGGTTTTCAGTGGTAAGATGACAGACATAACAATGCTAGCTGGTTAGACTTCACACCCAGCCTAGCTGATATGAATAGGACTTATTTCAAACAGAAGAGAATAACAGTTCAGCTTACCAATGATGCAAATACGTATTTCTGGTCTTTTTCTTGAAGGAAAACTAAAATGTCAGTGAGGAGAACTGCTTGAACCTCTGCAAAGTAGAAAAGGGAAAGAGAAGGAGAGAGCTGTTCACAAAACTGACTCAGCAATGCACAGCAGCCGTGTCTGAGATCACACCCGCCCCGCTATGGCTCTGTGATTCCACAGGACTCAGCTGGTCACTGGACTTTCAGAGGTATTTTATTCTATCTTCAATGTGTAACTTTTAGCTTCACCTTCCTCGGATGTTTTGAGGGACATTACTTGATCTACAGAACAGAGGATTCAAACATATACAAAGTTACCAGCAAAGCAAATAATTGCTTTTCATCCTAGAGGCATTTTAGGTACATTGACATAAGTCTTGCCTCAGAAAAGGTTAAGTGATCAGTCCTGAAAAGATATATCCTGTATTGCAGTGTGTGTGTGTGTGTGTGTGTGTGTGTGTGTGTGTGTGTGTGTGTGTGTGTGTGAACTTTTGAGTCTTCCAGAGTTGACCTTGGGTATTTTCCTCTATTATTCTCTTTACCTTATTTTTTTTTCTTTACCTATTTTTAAAAAGATTTATTTATTATGTATATAGTGTTCTGCCTGCATGCATCCCTGCAGGCCAGAAGAGGGCACCAGATCTCATTACAGATGGGTGTAAGCCACTGTGTGGTTGCTGGGAATTGAACTCAGAACCTCTGGAAGGGCAGCCAGTGTTCTTAGCCTCTGAGCCACCTCTCCACCCCCTCTTGATCCTTGAAAAGAGCGTTTCTCTTACTGAACCTGCTGGGGCTTGCCTGGCTGGACTAGCTGGTCAGTGAGCTTTGGTGACCCTCCTCTCAACTAGCGTGCATCACTGTGTCTGGCTTTTATGTTGGATGTGGAGATCTGAATTCAGGTCTGTATGGCCAAGTTTTAAGTATAAAATATTTTTAAGAATAAAGGTGAACATCAACCAATGTTAAGTAGCAAGCAACCTTTACCAACATACTCCATGAACTATTCTTCAGTCCTCCGACCCTCCAGTGTTGGAGACAAAACCCTGGGTTCTATGCATGCTAGGTAAGCCCTCCACCTGAGCTACACTCACAGCCCACTGTTTGGTATCTTTCCCAATTTCTCGTTATATTAACGGGAAATAGCAGCCAGAAAAGTACCCAGAAGGGATGTATAGCAACACCTAAGTATGATGAAGCAGAGACTTTTTCCATACCCTCCAGTGAACAAGACTGTTGGGCTCACACACATAAATGCCTGGGTTCAGTTCCCAGCACTGCATAAAACCGGGTGTGGTGGTGCACACCTGTAATCCCAGCACTTGGGGGAGTTCCAGGTGGACCCTCAGCTGAGTTTGTGACTAGTCTTGAATATCTGAGATTCTCTTACCTGTTACCCCTCAAAAGCAGGACAGAGGCATTTTAAAGCAAAGATTAGGAGTCCCCCACCTCTTCCCGTCCCCTCCCCTCCCATTCCATATAGCTTTAACTTTGACATAGCCTAAAGCTGTCTGAGAAGAAAGCCTCCACCAGAGAACAGCCTAGATCAAAGGGGCCTGTGGGGGACTGTTTTGACCATTAATTGCTGGAGGAGGCTTCAGCCCACAGTGGGTGATACCATTTTCTGGGAAGGTGATCCTGGGCTATGTAACAAAGCTATCTAAGCAGGAGCCCATGAACAAAAGAGAGTGAATCAGCACCCAGTGTTCTTCGGGGTTCACTGTTCCTCTCCTGATGGACTTCAGTGACGGACTGTGCCCTGAAGTGTGAGAGCCAGTACACTCTTTCCTCCTCACTGCTGCTTTTGGTCAGTGTTTTTAATCCCAGCAGCAGAAAGGAAACTAGACTGCTTACACAGACATACTCTAGCTTCACAGGTAGAAGTGAATTCAGCTTCTACAGTTGGTAGTCAGCCCTCTTCCACACCATTAACACAAAACTGCGTGTAGAACAAGAGAGTGTAATGGGGGAGGTTAGATAAAATCTCATGTTTATGCAGATCTAAACTTAATTATTTGTAATATATGACATGAAAGCTGAAGAAGGACTATAAGGGGCAAGAAGGGGACCAGCAGGAGGTGGTGCTGGGGTAAACAACCATGTATGTGTATTAAAATATCATAATGAAATCCATTGTTTCATGTGCTAAGAAAATTAATTTAAGAAATATGTAGGGCAAAACAACCCATGTTTTGTCTGAATTATCATGGTCAAACTAAGTTGAGTATAAACTGCAGAATATAAACTATGACATATGAAAAACAAAACCAACAGTCTGGTGCGTAGTTCAGTGGTGTCTGAGACTCCAGGAGATCCAGGTTCTGCTATCATTGCCATGCCCAAAATGGAACAAAACAAACAACTCAACATCTTTAATTGGATCCAGGAACTTAAAAATTAATCAACTCAAGATCTGACTAGTCCTCTAGGCATACAAAAGGACATTTTCCTTTATTCCCTCAAGGACGATGCACATCTCCTAGCCAGCTGGTTACAACTACCAGGCTGACCCTAACATCTTTCTCCCTCTGGAAAGCAGCGCCTACGGCTCCTTGGGAAACAGTGGGCTGATTTATGTAGTCTGTCCTGCCTTCTTTAACCTCTGCCAAACTAGAATCGCCTACAAAACCACGCAGCAAACAGAATCAAGAGAGGTCTAAATTTTCACACTACACAACAGTAATTTTCCATGCACCACCATTAGTTTTGACAAGTTATTTTTTTTTTAATGTTTACTTTAAAATAATTCAGGTGTCTGCCAAAAATAAGTTCTAAAAGCCCAGGTTTCAACTTTGTTGGATCCTGAGGTTTAGATGATCAGTGTCATGGATCAGAGGAAAAACAATCCCACCCCGACCACGGGGTGTTCCGAACATGACTGGCTGTTCCTGGCAGGAGTCACGGGGTGTGAAGATAACTCAATACCAGCCCGTTCTCCGCAGTGCAGGCTTTCCAAGCAGAAGTCTATTGTTCTGCTATTGGTTTGACCACAGCTTTATTCCAACAGCTGGAACCTATTCGCTTGTATTTTGGGAATAAACTGCCATGTAAAAGAAAAGAATAAAGTCCTGGCTCCAGGCAACAGCAGTTCTAGCAAATCTAGGTCCTCAGGAGAAGGACAGGTATTTCTGACCTGCCAGCCTGCTTGAAAGGTGGCCTCAAAGCGGCGGTGTGGAAGGGGTGTGGGCTAGGGCCCTCAGACCACCACAGGCCTGGGAGGCCTGGGAGGCAGGAGCACTTTGATTCACCACAAGGTATCTTAAACACTGCTGACCAGTGGCGAGCGACCCTTTAAGAATTATTATCCAGTGCTTCTTTTTCATGTCCTCCACTGTTGTGCAGGGGCTAGTGGGTCTTTCTGAAACACCCCAAGAGTTCCAATGCCCTTGTCACTTCCAATGGACTCTATACTACCCCCAGCTGTGCTGGAAAAACAAAACCCCCCAAACCACAAACCACCCCTTTTCCATGTGAAACTCTTACATTGTGAGCCTATTCCATGCCCCACACCAGCAAGCACGTCAAGTGCCAGCTCCTCACTGTGTGGTGGGCTCCTTTGGCAGCTGGACCCAGCAGTTTCTCGTTTTTTCTCATCTCCTATCACTCTCTTAAGTCTGTCTGGGATGGGAGTCCTGAAGATGTAACTTTCCCCGGGTTCCAGGCCCTCCCAACTCAATGCTTTCCCACCTCGAGCAACACCTTCCTCTTCATCCTCTAAGACTTAACTCCATGGCCATTCATCCTTCCTCTTTATTCCAGCACCCACCACACTGGAGAAGTACCCTCTTCTTGCAAGTCTGAAGTCAGCTGCCCGGAGGCAGCTGTCCTAAGCTGTACCACTGTCGCGAGCATGTTAAGGCTATGCTAAGGGCACCTCAGTGCTCTGACTGCAGACGCCTATGGCATCATGACTTTTCTGAGATGGGAAAGGAAACCTTCCTTCTGATATCAGTGTGCTATCGGGACAACAGTGAACCGTGGTCTGTTCGCATCCTCAGCTCACTGTGGCAGGAATACCCACAGCTGCTGGGAAGTTAGAGATCACATAGGCGGATGCCTATCCCGTAAAGGTTTGATGAAACTGAGCATGTTCCTAAAAGTAAGATGTACTGATGAGTAAAGAAAACAACCTATCTTCCTTAAATTATTGCAGGTGACCGATGAAAGGTGAGAAATCATAAAACAAATGATCAAATTTTCTTTAGCGATCTATTTTGCTTTGGAGAAAAATGAAAGACACGAATATCATAAAGTAGTCATGAATCTAGTTGAATAGGCTAGACTTGCCTTTCTCCAAGGTCTCAGAAGGTCTTTGGGAGTGATAAATTCTCAGTCTTACAGATTCACAGTCCCTGGCTCAGACAGTTCTGCCACTGACCCCAATCCCACTCAGCACCTCCCCAACAGTCTGCTGTATGTACTAATTTGATCCTTTGTGTTTTAAAACTTGAACTTGCTGTTCTTCCTTACTGCCACATTTCATAGGACTTGGTAAGCCACCTGAAACGAGTCTTTTTTGACATACTACTAAATGGTTGTTGCCCTGGGTGATGTCTGGATATGGTTCTCTAGGAAGAAGTGTGGTGGTGACGTCCAGCAGAATCTGGGTTTTTCCTGATCTGCCCAGGCACACAGACATGGCAGCAGTCTTACCTTTCAGCCTTCCCGTTGCACTCTTCAGAAACACACTCCCATCCCGCACCAGCTTCTTCCGTTTCAGATCCTCCTTGGCGAACATCTGCCCACTTTTCATCCTCATGATCGACTTGCTATCGGTCTTCGTGTAAATCTCACCGAGACGGACTTTCTTCTCATAACTTGCCACTTTGCTGTCCACGGCTCCAATCACATCCTTCACTAGGCTCAAGGACTGAGTCAGGTCTTCCTGCTCCACTTCATTGTCTAGGGAGAAAACAACTGCATGGAGCGGCTCCTTGCACACCACAGCAAAGAGAAGGAGTCTACATCATCACATTTCTCTTGCTGTTACACTGTCACACTGGAGCCAACACACCAAAGCACATGCCTACCTTTCCTGCTGCCATAAGCTTAATTCAAAAGGAAGTCAGAAGTTCTCAATGCTATGGATGATATGCAATTATATGCTCCGAAACAAAAGAAACCAATGCTTTAGGGGGAGAGAGCAGCAGAGGTGTGTAATAAGTTACTTAGTTATACCTTTACCTACTCTTTAATGTTATTGCCTCGTAACCTTTAATGTAACTGCCTAGGAGACACACTAGGCGAGAGAAACCACTACATACTGGTGAAATGAGACAGAGTAACCATTTTAGCACTTACAGGAAGAGAAGGCAGGAACTGCTGACCAAATCCAGTGTTGCCTGAACTAGTTAGTGCTCAGGGCACATACCGTTTTAACAGAACCACTATATGGTCCCTCCTTGATACTGTCTATCCACCCTAGTTGTAGTGATGTAGCACTCCAAACTGCTATTCCAGGAACTGAATCCAGGGCCTTGTACTTGTCTGGGAAGTAATCTAGCACTGAGCTGTACCCTCAGCCTGCTTTTCTAGGAATCGAACCCAGGGCCGTGTGCATATCCAGGAAGCACTGTGGCACTCAGCTGTGCCTCCAGCTGCTCCTCAGTTTTTGCTTTAATACAGGTCTCACTGGCTGCCCAGGCCAGACTCAAATCTGCTCTAAGTCCCAGCAGGCCTTAACTCTGCATCTCCCCTGCCTTAGCCCAAGTGGCTGACTATACCACTGGGCCCATTTCCTTCCTCTCAGGAAAACTGTGTATCATGTGGGTTCAGCTTTGTTTCCCTATAATCTTAGCACTTGGGAGGCTGAGCAGAAGGATCATGAGTTTGAGACTAGACTGGCCCACACAGTGAAACATGGTCTCAAAAAACTAAAAACAGCAACAGAATAAACAGCCATGGAAAGATGTTTACAAGGTCACACACCTGTAACCTTAGCACTTTGGCGGGGGTGGGGGTGGGTGGGGTGGGGGGAAGAGAAGAACTGCTGTGACTTTGAGGCCAACCTGGGCCAAAGTGAGAATCTGTGCCCCCCAATCAATCAATCAATCAATCCATCAAATCGCTGAGCTAAGTACAGGCACTCGGATAGGTTTGCTGGAGCATGGCAGAGCTCTGCTACAGTGGTTTCCAGGGCTATCTGGATCTGAGTTTACAAGGGGACTCACCTTTGGTACATTGCAGTATCCTTTGGAATAGAACTGGGTACTTGGTGATCCTCTGGGTTACAAGTAATATGCACTCTGGGATTCCAAGCCTTCTTACAACCGAACTGCTCATCTTCTTCTGCAAGGGAGTGGACAAACTGTTAGTCACTACGTGAGGAAGGGGGCTCTGGCCAAAATGGAGTTGCTTATGCTCCTGACCATGATGGGGACGCCTGTGTTACAGGTCAGTACCTTCACAAAGGCTTGGAAACGCTTATCCTTTGTGTAGAGGTCTTTGAAGTAGTTGACAGACTGGTTGTGCTGTCCACAGAACTTGCCATATGTCTTCTTTAAGCGCTCTGCATTCTCACCTGAAAACTACCCAGGAAAGAGAACAGGAGTTATACCACAATTCAGGGTATCATTCTGTAGAAAGTTTCCAGTCTTGTTGTGAAAACTAAGAGTGCTTTCGAACAAACACTCCCCAAAAGATTAAACGTACAGCAGCTTTGGCAGTTTGGCACTTTGTCAAAAGGTTAAACACTGAGCTCTCAGAAGATGCAGATGCAGACCTACTACCACAAACCAAGTGCTCTAAAAGGTTGAGCCCAATAGTGTCAGACAGAGCAACACATGAGTGCCACAGGAATAGAGTTTCCATCCCAGCAAAGACTTTAAGGGGTTGTGTACAATATAAGAAACTACGGACGAGAATATAAGTCAAGATGCAATACAGGTCCTGAAGGGGGAGGGGAGTGGGAGAGAAGGAGAGGAAAACCAAAAATGTTCTTAAGAGAGATGCTTGGGGAAGATAGTTCTTCATTTGTAGGGCCTCACATTAAGTTCATTTTATAGGACTATTCTTGCCAGATGCAAGTGTCTCACATGGAACATACATTTACTTGTATCATGTCCGTTTTTACATATTTCCATGTAATATTCAGGTGTGTAGTTTTACCCCTGGCATTTAATAGACAGCAACTCCTTTTAGAATGAGTGAATACACTGATAAATTATCAAATGAGAGATGTGGGCTCAAGGATACCAGGGAAGGACAAGATTTCTATTTCTCAGCCAAGCCTGTAATCCCAGTTCTTTGTGAGGTTGAGACAACCTCAGAATAAATGTAAAAACAAGGCTGAGGATGTAGCTCAGTGGCAGGGTGCTAACCTACCAAGTATGAGAAGCCCTTGGTTTAATCCTGAATACTGCCCCCAGACCCAGTCCAATTCGCATTCAACTGGCCCAGTAACTAAGCCTCTGTGTCTGCACAGAACCAGGGATCTGGTGAGGGGAAAGCTCTAGTCACATGTGTCTGATACTCTTGCTATTAAGGTTTACTAGCAACATTTCCTTTTTCAAAAACACTTCAAAAATAAACATCAAAAGCTATTCATGACATATATTTAAAAAATATAAAAATACTTTTTTGCTGAGTTTCTTTGAAATGGGACTGAAATAAAATCATATGTGGAAGAAAAGTAACACATTTTATAAAGTGTTTCACAAATAGCCTATTGGTCAGCTGCCTAAGCTTTAGCTAGTCTTAAGGTAGATGGGATCCTTTTCAGATGAGCCATAGGGAAAGCTCAAGACTTCTAGCAAACATTCTTTTATTTCTTAAACAGTACTGTTTCTGATGATTGTATGGCCATAGAGAAAGAAAAACTTGACTATATAATTTAATATACAAACACACACAGAAAATATAGAAAAGGGTAGATTATTGAATCTACTCTGAAAAGAAAAAAAGGGAAGATATAGAAATGATAAGATAAAAGGTAGATTTTTGAATCTACTCAGAAAAGAAAAAAGAGAGAATATGGATATGATAAGATAAAAAGGTACATTATTGAATCTACTTTTAAAAAGGAACTACTTGTTTTAAATAGGATAAGTAATGAAATTTTTTTGTCTGAATCTGTCAAATGTTAATGGACTAGACACTGTTATTCTAATTCTTGACTGTATATATTGTATATACTTATTGTATATACTTTTTCTTATATTAGCTATAACTATTTTATTTTAGACAAAAAAGGGGAAATGTGGTGATATTACATCCCCAATATATTGTGCACCCTGATAAAATTATCTGGGGTCAGAGAACAGAACAGCCACTTAGATAGACTTAGAGGCCAGAAAATGGTGACACACACACCTTTAATCCTATCACTTGGGAGGCAGAGATCCATCCAGATCTCTATGAGTTCAAGGCCATACTGGAAACAGCCAGGCATGGCGACACACACCTTTAATCTCAGGAAGTGATGGCAGGAAGCAGAAAAGTATATAAGGCATGAGGACCAGGAACTAGAGGCTTTTTAGGTTTTGAAGATTTTAGGCTTTTAGCAGCATTTCAGTTGAGATCCATTCGGGTGAGGACTCAGAGGCTTCCAGTTTGAGGAAAGAGGATTGGTTGAGAAGTTGGTGAGGTGAGGTTAGCTGTGGCTTGTTCTGTCTCTCTGATCTTTCAGAATTTACCCCAATATCTGCCTCCAGGTTTGTTTTTATCAATACACACACACACACACACACACACACACACACACACACACAGCTAATTTTCTAAAAAATTTTAAGAAGAAAAATCCTTCTTTCCTTATTTTACAGAAAAGGAATCGAAGGTTAGACTAACTCCATTTGGTAAGTCTACAAATAAAAACAGTAGAACTAAGACATACAAGCAGGGATCCAGAACTACAAAGCTTCTCTGCCACCCCAAAGCACGAGAAGAATCCAAGACCTTCCCGCCACTCACCTGATTGACAAGCACATCCCCTATCCTCTTGACAAGGAAGTTCCTTTCACTTTTGTCTACCAGAGACTCCTTCTTCCGCTCCAGGATCCTCTGGAAGAACTGGCTATGGATGCTGATCAGGTCATCCAAACAAGGAAACAGCTTTTCCACCATCTGCTGCTCAAAGAGCAGATCTGTCATCATCCCCCGGCTGTACACATCACTCATGATCTTGAGTGTGCGGATGTGATGTAACTCTGTCTGCATCAGCTCTATGAGAAGAGAGATCAAGGGTCTTTCAAAGATCACAGCTAAACTTGTAAGGTTAGCTTAGAGCCCACCTGAAACTTTAAAACTGAGCAAACAGCCGGGTCCCTCGAGTAGTCTCATCTTACTCTGCTTTTTCACCGACCTAACACCATTTTCCTGATGATAGGTGTACTGAATTCGACAGTCTTAAATGGTTTTCAAAGTCTTCATCAGATTCAGTCCCTTTCATTTACTGTGTTCCTGCTCCCTAGAACTGATTGACATTTCACCTTTCTAAAATCCATTTCTAGAAGACATCTCTTTCATAGACTGCTGTATAACTACGCATGCAAATAAACGAACTGCTGAATGTAATGAAGGGAACAGAACGGGACACTACAGGGCAAAATGAACAGAAGGACACAAGCAGTATCACATCTCCATACCGCAGGGGTTTAAATGGAAACCTTTACGCTGCATATTCAAAAATTAATTTTTCACAGCCCAACAATCACCCACTTAAACATGCTGGAACTCCTTTTCAAGTTCCCTCCCTGAGAGGTAGGGCAGTAGCTCTACCTCTCAATAACCCTCACTTGTGTACCAGCTGGATGCAGCAGAACAAAAACAAGCAAAGCAAACGAAGCATCTCACCATAAATCACCTCCTGCCGTTTGACCACATCTTTCTTCTGCTGTTTAAGGAACTTGCTGTCCACCGTGCGGCTCCAGGACTCTGCTTCCAGCTGTTTAGAGTCACTTTCAAAGTCTCCCATCAGCTGTCCTTCATTCATGTCTGTACCTACTCCTCAAAATACAAAAGAAGCAACCTCAGGATCTTGGGTTTCTGACCTCTACAAGAGGATTTTCCTCTAGGTGAAAATGAGCTCATAAGACAAATGCTCTGTCCTACTGTAGAGGATATTCAAGGGGAACATACCCAACATTAGGCAGGATCACTGTCAAGTTTAGGAATGAAAGACTCTATATTCAAGTCTGGTTAGGAATGATAAACATAGGTAAACCAAACAAGACTGAAACAATTCCTATGTGAAGTTGGAGCTTGAAGTATCCTGCTGTCTTTACGTACTGCACATGTTTATCTGAGTAGGCTAACAATGGTACAGACACAGAACTGAATGTGTACAAAGTCCAGAGGAAGTAAAGCATTGTTACTAGAGTATGCCTATGTGAAAATCAATGTTTCCTTCAATGGAAAGACAACACCAGGACAGGTGCAACTGCCAATGCTTGGTGCTGCAAGAGATGCTTTACAGGCAATTTAGAGACTCTTTCCAGGCAGGGGAGGGAAAAAGCAGGCCCTGCTATGCTGTGGGATGTCTTTCTGTATGCTGTGAATATGTGTTGCTCTGATTGGTTGATAAATAAAGCCGTTTGGCCTATGGCAAGTCATGTTACAGCTAGGTGGGAAACTGAAGAGGAGACAGGAAAAAGAAAGGGAGAGGCAGAAGAGACACTGCTAGCCACCGCCAGAACCAAGATGTAAAAGTACTGGTAAGCCACAAGCCACGTGGCAAAGTATAGATTTATAGAAATAGGTTAATTTAAGATGTAAGAGCTAGCTGGCGAGAAGCCTGAGCTATTAGGCCATATAGTTTGAAAATAATATAAGCCTCTGTGTGTTTATTTGGGCCCAAGCAGCTGCAGGATGCGGGTGGGAGAGATTCGTCCTGACCAACTGCAGAGCCTGGGCAGGACACAGGAAAACTTCCAGCTACACTGCTATTTGGTAATAGTGTGACAGGAGATGCACTGGATCTTTACAGAGATTAAGTAACACAGGCCAGAGTTTCCTCTTACCCTCATCAGTAAGTGATTCTGTTGACTCATTGACCTTGCAGATTTTATTCAGTGAGTCTGTTGAATGAGACAGAAATTTCCAGGTATTTGACATGTTCTCATCATTGCCAACTCTAGAGACAAAAAGAAGGACACATTGTCAGATACATTCTGATAAGCCATGGTGCCCATTCTTAACTGAATCCCTAAAAACTCTAAATGACAGCTGTAGGTTTTATGATGACTCAAGACAAACTACTCAGGTACACAGCAAAACAAAGCATTATTAAGAAGTTTACAAGTGCCGGGCGGTGGTGGCGCACGCCTTTAATCCCAGCACTCGGGAGGCAGAGCCAGGCGGATCTCTGTGAGTTCGAGGCCAGCCTGGGCTACCAAGTGAGTCCCAGGAAAGGCGCAAAGCTACACAGAGAAATCCTGTCTCGAAAAACCAAAAAAAAAAAAAAAAAAAAAAAAAAGAAGTTTACAAGTATTACTATAGCAAATTCAATCTTAGCCCAACTTTTTGATGCTTAAAAAAAGGTATACAGCATCATAAGTACATTATATAGAAAAAGCTTAAAATTTGTTATAGGAGCTGGAGAGACGGCTTAGCAGCTAAGAGCACTGGATACTCTTTCAGAGGATTCGAGTTTGGTTTCCAGCACCCATATGGTGGCTCGCAACCATCTGTAACTCAAGTTGCAGGGGATTCAATATCCTTTCTGGTCTCCACAGGCATCAGACATGCACATGGGACACAGACATGCATATGGGTAAAATACCCATGCACATAAGATAAATTTATTTTAAAAACATTACATAATCACTACTCTTTTGTTCTTTAAACTTCAAATTTTCTTTAAAACTCACTATTTCAGTCACAATGTCAATGAGTTTCGATAACATCACAACTCTGAAAAGAAGATTTATAGAGATCATAGAAATAGAGACAAAGAATACCTGAAATGTGTGTCTTGGGGAGAAAACATTAGCTAATACAGAGATAACGAAACACAAACAAAAGCAGACTTTGCATCCTTAGTCAGAAATTTTAGTCCAATCTAGGTCAGGAGACATGTAAGAGGTGTTAAGTCCTACATTTTTGATGACATATACATGATGAATGGGAGGGCGGGGGAGCATTTTACCCCAAACATTATAACTTTATATTTATAATTAGCCCTTTGCTAATAACCTGACTATCAATGCTGAACAACCAGTGGCCTCAGCAACATTTGAAGAGGCTACAAATGGAACTCAATGCAAATGAGCAAGAAGGAACCTAACTGGAATTGATGGCCCAGAATTCACCACCACTGGCTTTAGAGGTAAGGACAGAAACCAGACTTAAAAAGAAGCAAAACCAGGTTCATTTTAATAACACAAAGGTGTGATATCTAAGACATAGGTGGTTACAACAGAATATTAGTGATTAAATCATCTTTCCTATGACTCAGGTTCTTCCAAAACTGGCTGATCATGTACAAATGCCTAAAGCAATCCAGCTTGACAACAGAGCTCTCTGATAAACAACACTGGTCTGTATAATAAATATAAGTGTAATTACAGTACATTTATACTTCCTTTTTTATTAAATAAGTGGTTATTATGTTCGTGTTACCCACATGTCAACTGTGGACTCTTTAAACCCACTTACCCAGTGATGTTCTGTATGGAAACACTTTTAGAGAGGGAGACACTCTGCTGGGACCGTCTGTTAGTAAACAATGGTATAGCAGTGGCCTCATCAGGCAAAAGGACTGCAGACCTAGGGCGCTCCTTAGGCTGTGAAGCTGTAAGGGAAGAGAGGACAAGAATTGAAGCATTGCCTTTCCAGACCCCTAGTGCTGACTTATTCGACAGATGCCACAAAAACACAAAATGCTTTCAATACATTAGCTCTTAAAAAAAAACAAGAACAAAAAAAACTTAAAAGATGGGGTCTTTCTTCATATCCTTGACTGTCTTTGAACTCAGAGATCCAGACAAGTGCTGGGATTAAAGGTATGTGTCACCACAGCAGTTGAAGCCCTGGAAATGCAAATCAGGTCCTGTGGAAGAGCAGCAAGTGCTTCTAACCATGGAGTCAACTCTCCAGCCTCTGCTCATTATTTGAAAGCATGATCATTATGATTATTTGAAAGTTTGATCAACTTCTTGAATTTTGGATGGAGAAAAAAAAACTAATACCTGTTTAATATCATACAGGTTATCATGGAGTATTTTTCCTTAACATGACCAAAGATTAAACTGGAACACTAATCTAAAGTGATCACACTGGCACATGAACACTAAACTATTATTCCTTCGTAAGTGAGTTCCTGCCTCAGACGTAAATTTTTGTATCTCTCTATCCCCAGTAGGACCAAGAGCTAAGAGGAATAAGATATGGGGCTGGTATAATTTTACACTATTACAGGATACCTTTAATAAATAATAACACAAAAATTGATATCTAATTCAAATTCTATTTAGACAACAGAATACCAGAAACAGGGTATGCTACAATATGACCAGGTACTTGCTGCAGGGCGTACAAAGGGAGTATAAGATGTGGGCCTCTTGGAGAATATGCTTAAGGGTTACCAGTCCATAGCATATCCTAAGTGTTTCAGAAGGGTGAACAGTGAGCAAATAAAATGTTAGGGAGGAAGAAACAGGGGTTCTTAGACTATAGTGAGGATGCAGACAGGTTAGAAGGAAACAGAATATTCTGACGGGAAGAACCATATGAACGAAGGGCAAAATAATCATATAGAATTAGTGCAAAAAAGAGGAGAAAGAAGTAGAGGGAGGAGGACACACACACACACACACCACACACACACACACACACACACACACACACACACACACACACAGACAAAGAGACAGAGAGAAGGCGGAATCAGTGGGGAGAACCAGAGTGTTATGCAGAGCCCTAAATGTCCTAAAGAACAGCTTGTACCTAAAAGGTTGCAGAAGACACAAACACCATGCGACCTGAATCCACAGCTGTACTCTTGTGTGTATAAGTGTGCTTGTTCATGACAGTTCATGTTGGGATGTCTTCCTCAATAGCTTCTTTTTTTTTTTTTTTTTTTTTTTTTGGTTTTTCGAGACAGGGTTTCTCTGTGTAGCTTTGCGCCTTTCCTGGGACTCACTTGGTAGTCCAGGCTGGCCTTGAACTCACAGAGATCCGCCTGGCTCTGCCTCCCGAGTGCTGGGATTAAAGGCATGCGCCACCACCGCCCGGCCCTCAATAGCTTCTAAAACCTATTTTTTTTTTGAAGAGAAGGTCTGTCACTAAACCTGTAGCTCAGCATTTTGGCTAGACTAGATAGTCAGCAAGCTCCAAGTATCTGCCTGTCTCTGTTCCCCAGACATAAGATTACATCTATATGCCACCATATCCAAATCCAAACTTGGGTCTTCTTGCTTGTCCAATGAGCACTTTATACACTGAGCCATCTTCCCAGATCCAGAATTTGTACCCTTAATCACTCTAATACTGACATTCCATCTCATCCTAGCTAGAATGGCTAGTCTCAAGAGAATGAAATCATCAAATGATGATAAGGATGTAGATGAAAAAGAAACTATATTATACTGCTGGTAAGAATAACTTAGGCCAGCTATCATGGAAATCAGTACAAAGTCTCAAGAGATAAAAAAAAGAATTCCCACATGATCCAGCCATACCACTTATAGATGCATACCCCCCAAAAAATCAGAGTAAGGCTACTAGAGGGATGCCTGCACAACACTGCAACACTGTTTACTGTAGCACTATTCACAATAGTCAAGTTATGGAACCAGCCAAAAATGACAGTGGGTAAATGGAAAAAGAAAATGTGATATAATAGTTGTATGCAGCCAAACCAAGAATGAAATTACATTATTTGAAGGAAATTGTTTAGTAAGACAATTCTACAAAATCGGACTTACATATTTTCACATGTGAAATTAAAAAGGGGCAGGGACTTGAAGGCAAAATGAGGTACTACTGCATAGGATAAAGAGGATGGAGATTAGAAAAGCTGATGGGGGGGCTGCTCTTAAAGCACATCATATACATGGAAATCTCATAACAAAACCCAATATGCTATAAATTATTATCAATATAAATAAGAAAGTTATCTGTGAGGGTCAGAGGCAATCCACATAAAGGACCTTGCTTGCAAAAGGTATTTTAAAAGTTATTTTATTTGATGGGAAAGAAAATAGGCTTCTGAAACAGTTGGTAATATCACGGAAAAAATGTTGAGATTAAAACTGTCCAAGGAAGCTGGATGACAGACTGAAGTGGGTGTCAGTCTAGTAGCTGTCTCCATACAAGGATGGCTGAGGACCAGACTTAATATGTCTAAAGGGAATTCATTCTTTGTGGGTGTACGGATTGGCACAGCCATTTTCAAGTGCTCGGGAAAGAAGGCACAAGCGGTGCTTCCAGGCTTGAGTGGACGTCAACACCACTCAGAGATCTATGAACAGACCACAGGGCTCCACCACAGTCTCTGACTCCCAGGTCCAGTGGGGGTCTCAGGATCTGCACATGTATTGATTCTTCAGCTACGTGCTGAAAGCACTGCTCTCGTAACATACCACACAGGTTCCTAGGGAGCCAACTCAGGATAATCAGCACTGCATTACTTCAGTGTAATGCTACTTCCCAGTAGCAGTTGGGAGTAACTCAAACACAATGTACACTCATGAAATATACCTTGCAGCAGTCTGAAACATTAGCTATAGTAACTCTGCAAATGACACCGAGCGAAGAAATACATGTACAAAACAACAGATCTTCTCACAGATAGGTATGACGAAAGAGAGCAGATCAGAAGGATATGCATTATATATATTACACGGAAATCCAAGAGGATGGGGAGTGAAAACACTGTCAAAATAAAGTGAAATCTTGCACACAACGGTAAAGATTAGTTTTGGTTAGTTTTCAGGTTTTAAAATTTATTCTCTATTCATGTATGTACACAACTCATGCCATAGAGTCCATGTGGAAGCCAGTGGACAGCCTGTAGAAGCTGGTTCTCTCTTCTACCATGTGGGTTCTAGAGACTAAACTCTGTTGTCAGGCTTGGTGGCAAACCCCTTTACCTTCTCAGATCTCTTATCCAACCCAAAGCAGTGTTTTAAATAAAAAAAATGTAAAATTACATTTTTATTATTATTATTTGGGGTGTGTGTGCATGCACACGCATGTAAAGGAGGTCAGAAGACAACTTGTGGGAGTTGGATCTCTCCTGAATTGTGGGTCCTTGGGATTGAACTCAGGTAGTCAGACTTGGTAGCAGACACCTATACCTGCCTGAGTCACCTTGCCAAAATCCCCAAGGTGTTTTTTGCTGCTGTTCTTTAAGTGTGAATGGTAGAGTATGATTTACTCAGTTTTGTATAACATTTGAGAACCTTGGGGAAAAACAAACAAAAAAAGAATCATTCATATAATTTCACATGCTGTATGTGAGCTTAACCAATAAGATCTCATTTGTGTCACACTGATGTGAATGAAGCACTAAAATCAAACATTTTCTCTGGTGCTGAAGAGGAGACTGAGTTGCAGGGGAGTGTAACCTGCTCACACACACAGGCTCCAGTCCCCCTTTCAGCTGATGCACACACTATGACGGACACCTTCAAGAAGGGTTTGATGGTGTAATGCTAAGTCGCTGGTCAAGGAATGTGGCAGAACAAAGCAGTGACCTAATGTGCTACAGAAGAGGTATAGGATCTCGCCAGGCAGTTTCAGTTAGCCTTCCTCAACAAGCAAGCCTCACAAGAGCATCAGGTCTGAGTGCACGCCTGAGAGGTGTGCTGAGCTACTTACACTTGCTTCTCATGATGACCGTGGGCAGCGACGATGTGTCATGTGCCTGGAGGCTCCCTTTCGGCTGCTAGAGAGAAAAGAAGGTTACTACACGAAGACTGCGCTGACGACTCATCCTCCACCCAGTCTCCAGCAGCCTGGAGTAAAGAGAACATGGTGCTGGGCCATGGCCACCCCCACCTGCCATCCTCTGGGCTCACCAAGCACTGAAGATGCTTAGGTGTGTCCCCACCTGATCTCAGGAATGCTTTTTGTCACCTACCCCGGCATGGCACTCTTCCATTTCCGTAAGTACTCTCTCTTTGCTATAGTCACCAAAGCCTTTCCTGACTAAACTGCCCGTCCATATCTACACTGCACTGTCAGTTACTGAAGATAACCAGCCTGTTCATTCTGTTTCTTTCTTTTTTTTTTTTTTAAATAAATTTATTTACTTATTATGTATACAGTGTTCTGCCGGCATGTACGCCTGAATGCCAGAAGAGGGCACCAGATCTTATAGATGGTTGTGAGCCATCATGTGGTGGCTGGGAATTGAACTCAGGACCTCCGGAAGAGCAGCCAGTGCTCTTAACCTCTGAGCAGCCCTTCATTCTGTTTCTTTGGTGACTAGCATTTGTAAAATGTTACATTCTTAGATAGAATGCTAATTTTAGTTAAGTTTTGTGAAGGCATACACAAAACATAGTTTGAGAAATTATAAACTGAAGTATTTACTCTGGAACAAATCACGAGGAGGAAATAGGCCATTTTCAATTTAAAATGAACACTTCCATAGGTATTATAACCATATACAAAAGGGATGCTAGTCTCTGTACCATCACTGTTGTATAGAACCACACACTCACAGTAACAGTCTGATCCGAGACCATGAACTTAAATGACTGAGCGTGAGTGGCAGAAGCAGGAGGGGAGATCAAAGTCCAAGTGGGCGACTGGGATGCTCTTCCCTTTCAAGAGCGTCCACTGAGCACCCACTCACTGATTGTTCTCTGACATACAATCTTTCAAATTCCAAGACTCTGTCATCTACCTGACCTTCTAGGTACTCAGTGTACTATATTAGTCAAACAAAGATTCCTGCCTTCCTGCTTATCTTCTAGCGGGAGTAAGGTACAGATGAAAAAAAAAAAAAAAAAAGACAGAGAAAAATGGTCCCAGGAGATTTGTAACACTGGAAAAATGAAAAAAAGGGTAGGATGAGGGAAACTGGGGCTGCTGGGTGACAGGTAGCACCAGTGAGCTGAGGGATGTAGGAGCTTCCAATTTTGGGGGAGCAAACAGAAATCCAAATTGGTATAAAACCTAATTTCTATGTCTTTGCACAAACTGAATTTTTAAAGTGCAGCATGAGTTAAAATATACATCCCTGAGCTAAGAAAATTCAGATACAGAAGTTAGCCATCTTCATTAATCCAGCACGGCCCAGAGTGAGGTCTGAGGATGACCTATGTCATTTGGGAGCTCCTCAGAAAAGCACACTCTTCAGTCCACTCCAGAACTAGAAATCCTTTGCAGGGAGGGGTTACAGATCTTGAGATGATGTTGACACACACTCAAGACTGAGGCCACTGCACTAGGTAATGCGGTTACTGATGAGCATCTGTGTAGACACATCTGGAAATTCTCTAAGGAAAAACATTTTATATACGGTTGACTCACACAACACTGATAGTCACACAGGCTACCTAAATGACATGCTTCCAAGTTCGTGTGGCACCAGTATTGGTACTTCCTGTTCTTGTATTATGTGCCCCCTGCTACCATATGGACCTTTGGAGAAAAGACCAGGCAGGCTGGTTCTGAATGGAGTAGACCCTCCCCTGCCCATCACATATCAAGAGCCTCTGGTTTCCACCTGTTGCCCTCATGCTCCTAGATAGGGAGGCCAGAAATTTCAGTTGCAGAGTATATTTGCAGAGCTAGTTAGGACTATCACTTATACAGAAACACAGAGAAATGTTTAATGTACGTAAGTTCTAAAACAAATTTCCTTTTCTTTAAAATTTTTTTTGAGACAGAGTTTCACTCTGGTACAATGGCTAATATCAAACCAAGGAAACCATCCTGGCTCAGCCTCCTAAGTGCTGTGATTACAAGAGTGAGCCTCAAGCTCAGAATTTCTTTTATTCAAAGCCTCAAATTCTTGAATGTGTTAATCAAGAAGGGGGCTGATCATTTTAAAGAACAATTATCTTTAGATTAATTTGGTCTCTAAAAATTGGCACTAAATGATTAAAATAAGCAAGCAAGCAAGCAAACCAACCAACCAACCAACCTACCACAATCTAAATTCTAACACGTGGGTATTTTGCTATTTTAAACCACTGGATTTTGAGCATTCTAATAATAGCTAGAAATATCTTACCTTCATTTTGACCTTTGCACAGGAGGTTAGATTTTCTCTGCAGCCTTTGTGGACAAAGGCACTACAACCTGGAAAGGAAGCAGAAGGCAAGGTCACAACAAGAAAGCCAACAGGCCCTGGACTCTGACATTCCACTACTGCTGCATGGAGCTGACAGACTTCCACTCACAGTGAAAAATGTTACTACTAACTGAAAGGACATTTTAGAGGTATTTACTAGGAAGCAGTGGTATTTCTGATTAACCAAAAGAAGAAGTCAAGAATTTTTCAGGCAGGAAAACTGGGAAGCTATCAAAACTAAGAGTTTAAATGTTTGCCATCAAGATGTTGTGTCTACAGGGCCCTGAGAACCCTAAGCTGGAACTGACCTACAAGTCTCCTCTCTAAGGAGGAGGTACCAGAAGGGACCATGCAAGCACCCAAAGGAGTGAAGCATCCAGAGGCCCTACCAAGCTATAACACCTCTGAACCACAATGACCAGCACAGCATGATAATCTTCAGGGTGCAGCAGTAGCACATACACAATAGTGGCAGTGACCAACAGTTCACTAAATGGACTTAAGACCCAGTCAACAAGAGGGAAACCTACGATACTTGGCTACCGAAGCCATGGATCTTGGGGGAGAATCTACAACTACCACCTTAATAAAACCAGCATGATTCCTAACTATGTTCTAAATATTTGTCCTTACAGCCACAGGTAAGTGTAGTCCTTGTCCCTCATCAAGGAAACTCTTCTTTGCAAGAGACAAAGGCCATCATAGGAAACTATAACCAACCAAACTGCAGAGTTGTGGAGCTTGTCCTACAAAACAACTACAAATCTACAGAACAACTCCCACACCCAAGGCTCAGGAACATTGCCAAAGACGGGGTGGAAAGACTCTAAGAGCCAGAACATCAGGGAATTTGCTGTGAGGTTATGTCTCCTAGGATGTCAGAAGATACACCCATAAAGTCTCACCAACATGACTTTCTAGACATAAGCTGAACAAGGACAACAATAACAGACAAGTTAATGTGGACAAGGAAAGACCATGGAGTATTCAACCCTACACAAAGTACTATAGGCAGCCAATGAATGCTGAGATTGGGTAGTCCGCTCCAGGGAAGAGCACACTGATTGGTTATCCAATACAATGGTTGACTGGGTCAACCATGCAAACATACATGCAAGTAACATTATACAAACTGAGCAGGTTGTATTTATATATTTAGGAACACACACATATACACACAGAGGCACACACATATTTAAGGAGGAAATGGCATAATTATAATCTCAAAAATAAGAGAAATAATGAAAAAAGGTAATGTCTAAATTATAATACAATATATAAAACTGCTAAAAGGAGCTGTAAAAATTTCAGGACAAAGACCTGAAGATTTACCCTTCTTGAGATCTCAAATATCCCGAACCTTTTGTACCCCATTCCCTGAGTCAGAAGCCATGGAAGAAAGGTGACTACAACTCCCTCAAAGCACCCCTGGGAACCCTGACTCAAGAGAATGTGGGAGATTTCCTGAGACAAAACAGATTCAAATTTACTAATGACACATTTTATCTCACAGTATTTTTTATTTTCCATTCCCGTGGCCTACAAGGGCCACTGATGTAAAAACCATGCACTCTGTGCCTCAAAAAGGTCATCAGCTCTTCCTGCTGTGATGAAGTCATAAAAACAGACTGTGCCAAGAGGCCAGAGGCAAAGCACAAACAAGCAAAAGATCTGTCTTTGGGGACAGCTGAAGAGGCGTGTGTCTCCTGGGAAAGGCTCACTCAGGAAATCAGCAACAGACAGCATTTCACTCGGCATGGCTGCTTCAGGGAGTACCACAGGCAGGCCTTGTCCTAGCCATCGAGGTCAAGATGCTCTTGGACTTGGAAGCTTGGAATTATGGATGCCAGGGTAAGAAGAACTTGCTGCTATGAAGGAGACTGCCAGAAATCCAGATCCCAAGGGCCTTCCCATTCCTTCTGCAGTGGTTGTTCCTGCAATGCCTGTTTGGTCCACTGGGCCCTTCCTAGACACTAGCAGTCACACTGTGCTGGGGTTTTGTCGGCCTTTTCTCCTGTACCGAGGAGCTTTAACTCTCTAGTGCAGTACCTGGGTCATGATGTATATTCCACTGTCTGTGTGTAAACCCACAGGCCACTGTATATAAACCAAGTGCCCAGACACAACCTTCATTACTGCATTTGAAACACCCGGTGTCCACTTAGTAACAAGTAAAACAGGACACACAGCAGGTAAACTCCATTTAACTCAGGTCCTGATTCTGATTACCACCATAAGCCCCAAATAAGTTCCTTTTCCACAGCCTTGGTTTCCTTGTCTACAAAACAAAAAGAACCGTATTCCCTGTTTTAACTACTGGGGAGATATGGCGAGGAAGAAACTCATCATCCATTTTCCAACATCTGATAAAGTTCAGGGTGTGTGCCAACTTCACAAACTGTCACCGAGTCTAGTGCCATACACAAGGATGCTCTGTGGCACTCTTTGTCACACAGACAAAGTGAAAGTGACCCCATATCCTAAGCAGTAGAATGGCTTGAAGTGTGTAAGAGAGCTAAGTGCCAGGGTCTGCATCTATGTAGCCAATATTTCAATTCTCTAAAATAGAGCATTGGGGAGAATAACAAAATTGCAAAGTGAGCCGCGCAGGCAACAGTAAACCAACTGTTAAAATGACATTTTGTTCATATGAGATGGAATTACAAACCACCGATTATATAAGTGCTTGTTTGGAGGAAAGAATGAAGGAAGACTGGCGCAGGGAAACAGACGCAATGCTAACTGTGAAGGTTCAGTTCTTAAAAGTGAAGGGTGAAGTACCGTGTTCCTTCCTTCCTTTCTCTTTTCTGCGGTGACAGGGGTCAAACCTAGGGCCTCATATAGTCTAGGCAATCACTCTACCACCGAGCTATATTTTTCCATTTGGAGTTGGGGTTCAACAGGTTCCTATTACACTGTCCATGTATAATATCTGTATTAATGGCTTTTAAATTAAAAACATCAGTGCATCAAACTTTATTACCCTCAAAGGCTCCTGAGATTCTTATTCTTTAAAAATAGTAACTGACCACATTTGTGATACATTATACTGAAACACTAATTTCAGTATCACCATTATAAAATGCATCTTTCCTTTTGTTTCACTCTAACTCTGTAATATCCAGGGCATCGACAAGTAATAGAAGAGGTGACAGGTTTGTTTGAGAATCTGCCACTGTTTCTGATGTATAAATGGGACAAACTAAGAGTCCTGACAGAAATCACTTCCAAGCTGGCCCCTCGGGCTCCTTTCCTCCTGGTCTCAGCACCCCTCAAAGGCCCAGGCAGCGCAGTGGTTAGGGGGGCACTGTACCTTCTGAACAGACTCCAGCAGTTCTCATGTTCTTGGGCCACTGTTTGAGATTTAAGAACAATTCCACTTCGTGAGTCACAGAAGTAGAAATAACATCTTAAATGTGCTTCCAGCAGAACTTTTCACAGAAATTCATGTTTTTAGTTAACTGCCTCTAAACCCACAACCTAGCTGAAATTTTTACTATGCCCAATGTTATAGCTACAAGTCTTCACGATAAACAGTTCACATGGCTGCCTGTTTACCACACTGAAGTACCTACTTGAAAAACACTAAACTCATCACCAAGTGGTCCTGGACTCAATCCATAGAATGGTTTTAGTGCTAGGCGTGAGTGATTTAGAAACTGCTAGCCCCAGTGACATCAGCCAAAGTCATGGGATTTAAAACTGTATCATCTGTTTTACAACAGACAATTGCCCAAACAAAAGACTCGAAGACAAGTCTAATAGATTTATTTAAGCACACTGCCACAAACCATACTATGTTGTTAGGAAGATCAAAGAAAATTTATCTGGGCTCTCTTGGGAAGCAGGTACCCACACTGTCCTTTGCCTAAGTACTTTTCTCTCTCAATGGCTGTGCTTAAATCTATGTTAATCCCTTTTTTAAAAAATAAACTTGTTAAATGCTCACAAAAAAGAAAAAAACTGATTTAGCCTTCTTTATATTTAAAACATTCCCTAAGAGTAGTTAAGTGGCATGATTGCATTTTTTTTCAAAATTCTTTTAAAAAAGTCAAAGTACAGTGGTTTATAGGCTCAGAGGTGACCCTTAATCACATTTCTTTGAAATTAAAGTCAACAGCTCAGCCTGCATCTATCCATATATCTATCTCTGCCCACAAGGAAGCATCCAATAACAACAACAACAACAACAAAATGGAGCAACTTTACATGCTGGAGTGATCATTTATTTGTTGCCCCCCTCCCCCTTCGGTAAACCATCCATGAGAGATCTTTGGTGAAATGTTACATACTATGCACTTTGGTTTTTCAGCAGAAAAGCTGTCATACGCAGCCAGACTTTTGAAGAAAGGAATATTCAAGTACTTTAGTGCACTGTTCTATCTACCAGCAACAAAAATCTATGTGGAAAAAATAATTAGATCCTTTTTAAGGACACAGGAAGAATGGCCTTTAAGAACAAACAGAAACATTTTCCTCCTATGGGAAAATGGCAAACTCTAAAATTCTAACAAAAAGGAAAGAAACACCACCAGAAACAAAGCCAAACCAACCAACCACACAAAACCCAACCAGCCCACGGAACGAGCAGTCACTCGGAAACACATGCTCCAGAACTCTTTCTGCAGAGTCGTGTTTAAAGTCGCTGGGGACTTTCAGGCGCTGTCTGGTCTGGACTGATAGTGCTTGTATGCAAAAAGCATGTGAGAGCTTCTTCGTAGCCAGCGTTAATAACCACAATGCTGATGCTCAGAACGAGAGGAAAGCCACAGAAAAGAGCTAAGCCATCTTGACTAACTGCTCCTAACAGCAGTTTTCGTAAGAACACTGGTAAACAAAAATGAAACAAAATAAAGTGTTCTTCTTGATCAAGAACGGACTTTATTGCATAAGCTCCTTATTTACTTTTTCTTCTAAGTATCAAGTATCTTTTCTTCAGGCAATTCATCTGTGTTTACTATCTCACAGAAGCAATGAATTGATTCTAAATTACAGAAACCATCCAGTT